TTAGCTCCCCCACTCAGGGAAGATTGCAAATGCTGGGTTAGATGGCTTCTCTAGTACTATGGGAGAGGTGGGAGGCGCTCATGTGGGGTGTGTGGGAGGTGTGGGGGATGGGTGGCGGGGGCGGTGATGTGTTACCCGGGTTACAAAGACCACACCAGGTCCTGAGGGCTTCGGAGAGCGGAGAGGAACTGGCAAGGAAAAGACATAAACCAACCAATCACAGCTTAAGGAACAAGATCCCCAGCTCTGGGCGTTGAGCCTGAGGAGGGGGGAGAGGATACAGACTGGTTCCTGATTTCTTATCAGCAGCTAAATCTAGACTGATCCCCGAGTGGGAGTGGTTATTACACAGGGTGTGTCTCCCAGTACAACACCTACTTTGTCGAGGATGGTCACTTCGGTGGAGTAACCGCGCACTACTCTGGGGTTTGCACAGCTGTGAAGTAGGTACGAGGGAACGTCAGAAGAATCAACACTCTATATTCTTCTAGGCTATAGGATGGCTCCTTTGAGCACATCCACCATGAAGCCTTACACACTTTTATTCAACATTTGCTTCATCCCAGATCCAGAGTCTTGTCAAATACATTTAGATCCACTTTCTTTTTTCTTTTTCTTTTTTTGAGACAGCATCTCCCTATGTAGACCAAAAGGCTGGCTCAAACTCAGAAAGATCTTCCTCCTGCCTCTGAGGACATCTTAATTGAATCCTTCAATTTACCTCTGAACTAGGAAGTATCATTTCTTCTATGATACATCAGATATGAGGGCTAAAGTTATGTTTTAAGTTATTACTGTGCTTAAGAGTCTATAAAACAGAAATGCCTCTAAGCTGTAAGCCCTACTTGCCCAAGGACAGATAACTTCCTGAAATGCTGTTGTTCATGTAAGATAACAGGCCATGTGTTCTCACTTCTGTAAACAAGGTTGGTTGCCCCAAATGCACAGGATGTGCTTCATCACACGTAGGCCAGAGGTAGGTAGGCAGGAAGTGTGTCAGCATCTATGCCTGCCCCTGATTGAACAAAGGTGAGAAGTACATAGCCTGGTGGATTTTGCCTTCATAAGCACCTGACTAACATAATTTGGGGCCATTTTCTAGGCTATGGACCTGGCTAGCGTCTATCGTCCCAGCCAGTATTTAATAAACCTTGCTTCAAATTCAGCTCAAAAATGTTGGTTGCGGTATTATTCTCTCCTGGTGGGATTAACACAGGAACTCGAAAGTTGATACTTGCTACATAGCTCACCCTGGCCTTGAACTCTTCAGATCCACCCGCCCCTGCCTCCCAAGTCTGAGATCAAAGGCCTGCACCACTACAATTAACTACACATTCTAATTCTTAAGTCATTTTTCCCTGAAGCGACACTTTTTGCCTTCATTCACACGTCTTTAGCCAGACCAGGCCTCTCCAAGTGACTGGGGAAGGGCATGCTACTTCATGACTGGAAGGAGTGTTGGAGAGGTCTGGTGACTGGAAACAGTCTCCTTCCCAACCTCCTGTCAACCACTCTTTCACTCTCATAGTTTCACCCTTTCCAGAATGTCCTACAAGTGGACTCAGCGTGTTTAGCTTAAAGATATACTATTTGTGTATTTTTGTGTCTGTGAATGTATGTGTACCATGTGTACCTATTTGCAAGACCCCAAATGGGTCCGAAGAGGGGATCGAATCCCCTAGAACTGAAGTTACAGGCAGTTGTGAGCTGCCATGTGGTTGCTGAGACTAGAACCTGGGTCCAAGAGCGGTGAGTGTTCATGACTGCTAAGCCATGTTTCCAGACCCATCCATCCATCCTGTCTCTCTCCTTCCTTTCTCTTTCCCTTTCCCTTCCCCCCTCTCTCTCAACACAAGGCCTTCGAGGCTCAGCTTGTGGCTGCACTTCTCCCTGTCACAGCAGTCTGTTCCGTTTAATTGGTTGATGATAGTCAAGTGCATAGCTATCCTACCTTCCGCAACGTGGCCAAGCTTTGGACACTGGAATACAATGCTTCATCTAGAAATACTCTGTGCTGCAGCCATAGCTGTCCTGGGATGCATGTGGTCCGTGGACCACAGGTTACACATGTCTGGTAGTCTCTGCCTCTGAAACAAAGCCCTGCTAGCCACCTCAGTCTGTCCTCTTACTCATAATGTAGTCCAGGCTGGCCTTAAACTTGCCATCATCCCTCTGCCTCAACCTCCTGTGTGCTAGGATCATAGGCACAAGCCACCGACACCCAGCCTAGATTATGAGTCATGTACCCACTAACCCATACTTGCTTTACAGAACTATTTATAGCTGTGGGCCAGGCCCTTAGCATAGAATAACTGACACGCCTATACTGCTGTCAAGCCCCACAGTTACGGTTCCGAGAAAAATGCTCCCTTTATGTTGAGGGGGCCAGGTTCAGACAGTGAGATAAACTCAGCCTCGCCATGTTAATTTAAGAAGAAACAGTCAGGAAGTATAGAAGAACAAATGCCTTATTCCAAATGATAGCACGGAATGACTTTATAACGTCAATAAAAGTATTGCTCTGTCTGAAGTTTCTGTTCACTATGCCAAGGGCTGCATGATATCACAGTGCTGTTCTTGGGGCTGAGAGCTGCCAGGACCTTCACCTCTCAGCACAGGAGGACTCTGCCCGGAAACATCACTACAGGAGGACTCTGCCCAGAAACATCATACAATGCACACCAACCTCTGCTCCCCAGGCAACCAGAAAGCGAGTGACAGTGAGTGCTCAAGCCTTCAGGCTGAGAGTCTGAAGATACTGGAACTTTCTTTCCCAGCAAAGCAGGCTCTGGGGCATAGGCGTAGGCAGAGTGGAGGCACAAGCAGACTGGATGTGAGGGCCTGCCTGATGTGTGGGCAAAAGGCTTCCATCTTGGCTTTGAAATGGTCATCAAAATATGTCAGTCACAGAAACCAAGACGTAGAAATAACCTGAGCGCACTGATGAGTGGCTAAAGAAACAGCTATAGGTGTTCATTATATTTTTATATAATGAAAAACATTTTAGTGTTAAAAAGGGGGAGGGGGCTGGAGAGACAGCTCAGCGGTTAAGAGCACTGGCTGATCTTCCAGAGGCCCCAGGTTCAATTCCCAGCCCCTACCTGGCAGCTCACAACTGTCTGCAACTCCAAAAGCTGTCACCCCCCCCCATCCACATGCATGCAGGCTAAAAACCAATGCACATTAAATAAAAAGAGTAATTCTTAAAAATAGGGAAAGGGATCCTCTATTTTGAGACGTGTGAAACTGGGGAGAATATTATATTGAGTGGAATAAGCCAGGCAGATCAATATCGCACAACTCACTTACACGCACACATTAGTGTCCACTATATGTGTGTGTGTGTCACTGCTATTATGAAAGACCTGAGGATGTACACTTTATAAAAAAGAGACTGCCGGTCACAGTGGCCCAACTCTGTAATCTCGATGCTCAAGAGACGGAGGTGGGAGGAGTCTAGGTTTGATGCTAGTCCATATTTCAAAGAATGAAAAAAAGAGAGAAAGGGATGGGGAGAGGAAGGATAAAGGATAAAGGGGGAAATGGGAAAGAGGACACAAACACATGAGAGAGAGAGAAAGACAGACACAGATTATTTAGGTGGAGGCTCAGCTTTGGGTATGTCCCTCTTGGCCGGGTTACATAATGGAGGGAGAGTCTGGATATGAGGGAGAGATCACAGTGCAGGACTATGTGACAGGGAGACATTGGGTCTCACAGTCTGCCCTCTGTGGGCACATCCCTAACTGATCTATGGCTCTTCCACCGGGTCCCACCTATTAAAGGCTCTGTCACAAAGAGGACCAAGTTTCCAACACATGGACCTTTGGAGGAGCACCCATATCCCAACCTCAGTCACATGGAGTCTGGAAAAAATCACAATAAAGAGAACAGGGTGGGGGTGGGGCAACAGAGACGAAGGTTAAAGGGTAACTACAGATGCGTGGCTACTATAGTTAATAGTGTATTAAATGCTAAAGATCTGCTGAAAGATCTTATGTCACTATACATACATGTACAAGGGAGAAGTTCATTTTTTTGTCTGTGCAGGAACCACTGCCTTATGTATATCAAGCAATGTAATGCACATAATTAAATACACACAATGGAAAAGATAAAGGAGTTCTGAAATTGATGTGGAATTGATTTCCAATGTCTGGCTGAGCTGAGCAGGAACAGGGACCAGTCACCATCAGGACTATGTTAAGATCTCCGTTGGGGCTGGAAGTGGCGGCACATGCCTTTAATCCCAGCACTTGGGAGGTAGAGGCAGGTGGAATTCTGTGAGTTCAAGGCCAGCCTGATCTACGAGTGAGTTCCAAGACAGCCAGGGCTACAGAGAGAAAGCGTTTCAAGTAAAACAAACAAGCAAAGAAAAACCCCAGCCATCCAGCGCCATTTCATGAGCTTTGTCTGACAAGATGCCCTCATGCCCCAAGATGTGGTTACTGGCATCCACTCATGCCAAGGGTCTTTTTTTTTCCATAAAGTAATTAAGAGGCTTCCAAGGAAGCGATTTATGAATAAATCAGTGAACATTTATCCAGCCATGTGTCCACATCCTTGGCCACAAGTGAAAGGTTCGTGGACCAGTTTTAAAGTCCCACAGGATTCTCAGACATGCTTAACTACATTTCCACCTCCAAGACAAGAGGAGTTGGCACGGAGCAGTCACAGGCAGCATCAGTGTCTGACCCAGCTCTCCAATTTAGAGACCGGCTGGGTGTTACCACCGAGTTAGGCCTTCATCACTTAGGTAGGTACATCCACCCACCCACTCACCCTTCCTCCCTTCCTTTCCTTCCTTCCTCCCTCTCCTCCTTCCTTCCTCCCTCCCTCCCCTTTACCCATTCATCTTCAACCGTATGGTTTCTTCAAATCGGGGCACCTAGGACAGAGAGGTGACTGTCTTGATTTGCCATCCAGAGGTTCACGATTCACATCAGCTATTTAAATGGCACGCTGGTAAGTAATAGCCTCTTACACACTCATTTGCTTGTTTGAAGAGAAAACCAGTGGGGATGATATTAATTTTATTGCATCATTTTTGCTGACTAGAACGCCAGACTTAAGAGCAGATATAAGTATAAAAATAACCAAATTCTTACAAATAATACTTTGCTACTACAGTACTGAATAATTAGTGGAGGTGACATTATAATACAGCTTTAAATAACATTCTCACGATGGCTTTTACACAGTCAACCTGGATGTTGGTTTAAAGGCGTACAGAGCAGAGTCCAGGACAAAGGGGGCGGACCTCGTCTCCACTCAGCTGTCAGGCCTGCAACACACATACATCACCAAAACTCACAGCACCTCATGGCAAACTGGTCCTTTTCTCTGTACAACAGGCCTAGGTAATGCCCCAAAAGCTAAGCAAGTAGGTTCAGTTCCCCCGACAAACTGGCTCCATCCCACTATTCTCACCCCGTCCTCAACCATTCAGAACAACGGCATCAAGCTCAAGCCCATCATCCAAAATTATAGCGGAGTCTACCAGGCAGCCCCTTGGAAATGTCCTCTTGGAAAATGCCCAATGTGACAGGTGCAGGCCAGGACCTGCCTCTTTTCAGACCTAAAGGGTCCATCTCCCTTTGGTTTCACAGGCTACTCTCTGGGAGAGAGTTTTCATCAGACATAACGGAGCGTAACCCGGTGGAGACACTGAAGTACGATGAATTGACAGGCATTTAATGCTTTCAGGTTTCTGTTATTTCAACCAGTTATTTTTAAAGGCTTAAAGCTATTATTTTAACTTCTATGTTCCCATTGTTACCTCCCCCCTCCCCTTTGGGATCTGAGAAAAGAAAGGGAAAGAACGAACATACATACCCAAAGACAAACTACAAAATTCATTTCTGTCTCCAAACACGCTGATGAGAACCTTAGAAAGGTACTATCAAGAAAGAAGAAATGAGAGGCGGTGTAGAAAGAAGAAATGAGAGGCGGTGTAGCTCTACCATCTAGCACTTGCCTGGTATGTCCAAGGCCCTGGCTTCCATTCTTGGCCCTACCTTCCCAAAGAAGAACACAGGAGGGCGAGGGGGAGGGAAGGGGGAGGAGGAGGGGGAGGAGGGGGAGGAGAAGGAGGAGGAGGAGGAGAAGGAGGAGGAGGAGGAGGAGAAGAAGAAGAAGGAGAAGAAAAAGCTTTCAGGTAGAAAAAGTATCTATCTGCTATTATAGGCTGTTTTAAATATAACACCAAAATACAGAACTCTGTATTGTCCTTCTTCCCAAAGAAGTGCTCTGGCCTAAAAAGAAAAAAATCAACATAAACTTAAAAACAGGGGTAAAGTCTCTAGTTTTGAGTGTGTTATGGGACACTAAGCCAAGGACAACTTGGCTGTCCAGCTTTCCTGCTTTAGTTAACAACCCACAGTTACAGAGACCCGGACAGACACTTCACTACTGGGCAGGTGGCTTCAGGGAGTACCCAAAAGTCACGTGCCAGGGGTGATCCTCAAGTGCCCGCTCTGGAGCTTCACACTTGAACAGACAGCATCTTTGAAGACTTTCCTTGTGTTGTCAGCCAGTCTCCCTCCAACGATGCTGCTCTCTCCTGTGGGCCGACTTTCATGACTTCCTCTCTTCGACCATAGCAGTCATCTCTTAGTCCTTGACCTCAAATGCCACCAAACAGCTTGACTGCACCAATCATACAGTAGTTCTGGCTCAACGTGACTTAAATGCTTCTAAAAATAACCTCCCCAGTCGGAAGGTCATTTGTCATCCCACTCAGTTACGATCCCAGCTTCCCAAGGTTCACAGTTGTGACATGTGGGAGCCATGGCTTCCCGCTGAGAATAAGGCAGGCATCCCTCAAGTTGAGTGCCTAAGCCCTGTTGTGCTTGTCAAAAACCCACCTTCACTTCTGACAGCCCAAACCACATACCAATATGCTTCCTGCCAACTGCAAACCAGTCATTATTTTCCATTTTTGAGACTTTTGGAGTACATGGGTGTCAGGTACTCCAGAAAGGCCTTGAACTCCTGACCCTCCTGCCTCAACCTTCAGAGGGCCGGGATTACAGGAGTGTACCCCTATGCCCAGCTCACGTGGTGCCTGGGAGCAAACCCAGGGCTTGGTACATGCCAGGCAAGCACTCTAGGCTCTAAGCTACATTCCCAGGTCCCTTCTCTGACTGCTGCACACCGTCAACTAACCCAGGTGCAGCCGTAAGGCCAAACACCTGGCACAGAGCCTGGCCCAGGGTGAGAACCCAGGACACTATTTATCCCCCTAAGAAACAGGACCCAGGGTCGTGAGCTGGCTCGTGACACACGAAACACACACACACACACACACACACACACACACACACACACACACACACACCCACACACCTTGCTTTTGCACAGAGCTCAGGCTGGATTCAGGTAGAACCCCTTTCTTACACAAGTTCTACCTGGACCAGTTCTTCCACATGCAAACAGCTCCTTGGCATCTCCCCACTTCCCTCGTCATGGGACCCCACCGCAGGACTGTGACATTTCTATGTGCACAGATTATACACTCTAGGCGCGGGGGCCGACTCTGAGCACTCGTGTCCTTCGAAGACTCTGCCTGCCCAGGCATGGGCTCAGCCTGTCTGTCCTGCTCATGGGCTGCTGGTGGCCAGTCTCCAGGCTCCTTCTGGATGCAACTCCACATAGGGAAGCATCCACTCTCTCCGTTCCTCCCAATGGCAGGAAGGGGCCTTTCTACCTCAAGCTCCTCCCCCACCCCAAACGGTGGACTCAGTGTGAACTCACCCTTGCTTGCTTCTCTCATGTTTTTCACAGTTAAAAAAAAAAATACAAAAAACTGAAACACTCTCTCTCCACTCTATTTGGGCCAAATTCATGAGTCAGCATGAATTTTTGGCACTGACAGGAACTTGTCTGGATGTTGGAATTCTTCCTAGGATTTTGTTTTCTTTTGGGACAGAGCAGTTCGCTTTGTGGGGTTTGAGGCTTCTAGCCCTGTACAGGCACCCGCCAGCTGTGCCTCTGCCCCCTGAACAGGTGCTCACCAGCTCTCATGCCAGCTGAAGGCATTAGAAGTGTGTCCAGGGTCAGCCACCACGCTGGCTCTTCCTACAGCAATGAGGCTTGGGACAAGCAGGGATACTTCCAGAGTGGCTAGAACCTGGCTACCACAACAAAGGGTCTAGGCTCAGGCAAGCCGAGCACAGGAGCTCACAAAGACACAGGGAGCTGTTGGTACGTACACACATACACACACACACACACACACACACCCCATGGCTTGTAGATGACAATGCTCTGCAACTTTTAAGCTAGCATCAGCCAATAGCCAACAGGTCTCTCATTGTACTAATGAGTGCAATGTGATGGTTAGGATCCAATGCACCTGACTAAGGGCCCTGCTGGAGCAAATGACGGTGAGCGGTAGAGACCAGGGTATAAGGTTCACACTTGAAACAGGATGAAGACCTTCATACATTTTAGAGGAACCAGAGAACTCCAAAGAAACACATTCGGAATCATCTCCAACAGCTGCCCTATTTCCAGAAAGGTATGCTACCGAGTTCCCAGCTTCAGGGTCCTGGCAACGCTTTGACCTCTTCACTTCATCCCAAAACAGGACATCCCACAAGCTGAAGAAGGAACACAGTTCCACAGGAAATAGAGCCCCACACGGCCCCTCCCACCCCCAGGGTCCCACAATAAATAAGACACAGGACTTCCTTCCCCCAAAGCAAGCTCTCGGACCCCTAGCTGGGCACGCTTTAGTTCGCCAAAGTGGACGTGGGCCACAACTAAGTCTTGAGGGAGGCTCTGCGCAAGAACACAGACATAGCGATGACCGGGTGAGGGAAACTAAGCTTCTCTTCAATGACAGTGGCTGACGTTTCCGTGACGGGTTCAAAGATTAGCAGGTACCCGCCCTTACCTGCAGGCTCTTCCTAGCTCCCTAGTCCTGGGGCTTTTGCACTGGGGGCACAGGGAATGTGCCTACTCCTCTGCCATATTCAGCTGCGGGGTGGGGCTCAGGGCTGGCTGCTTTTCCTTCAGGTGAGATGCTGGCTTGCCGAGTCTTGCCTCTCCCTTTTCTCCTACGTCCCAGCAGACTGTTTCCATGCTGGTGATGGTCAGAGCCTCAGGCCCCATGAAGTCCCCTCACGGAGGACCAGCCTGATACTACCTGCTTCGGCACACTAAGGGGAAGCTTGGTTCTCCTAATGAAAACCAGGGGAGAGTTGTTTAGCCCTGATTCGTACTTGCTTGGGAAAGTAAAATTAGCAGATCGTGAGCGAACATGTCACCCTGACTTACAGAAGTTATGCTCTGTGCCTTGCAAATGTCAGGTTCCCATTTGTAGTGTTGGCTTGGAAATGAGCACAGACGACCTAGGAACCTGAAAACACTACGCCCCTGACTGCAGATCACAGCGGAATTGCTCACCTCCATCTGTTCAGCACAAGGCACCAGGCAGGAAACCAACAGTGCCAACGCCTGGCTGCCAATCAACCACCCAAGTGAGGCCTGTGGGAGTCTCCTAGGAAAGGAAGGCTTTCAGGGATAGTCTGGGAATGACACCAAAATAAAACCTCCCTGCTCAGTCCATTAAAGTGCAAATTAAGGGGCAACTGGGTCGTGGAAATGATGCCCAGTGGTCTGCTGCAGAAGACATCCAGTTCTAAGTGCCGGGCATTCAGAGACTCGGTCCCGGCCCACCCTCACATTCACAGTAACAACGGTGCGGATTGAGTGGCCTGCGGTTCGCCATCCATCTGTCCCTTCCACTGTGGTCACGCCCCTGGAGCATGGCTCTGATGAGTCCTAAGGAGCACGGTGCTCCCTTCCAGCGCAGTCCTCCAGCCAGCCGCCAGGGGAAGTGGCTCAGAGAAACGACCTCCCGCCCCCTTCTCTCCTGGACTCAGAAGTAGTCTCTCCTCCGGCTCTCGTCACTGATGAAGGATGGGTTATACTGTCCCGGGAAAATGCACGAGTGCCGAGATCCGGGCAGTCCAGTGTAGGCTGGGTACAGTCCGTTGCGTTCAAGTTCAGGGTTCCTTACGTTTGTGGGCTGGGCGCCAAAAGAGAAAAGAAGGAAAGTCAGTCATTCTGGGACCTAAAAAGGTGGCAACATTTTTTCATTTTAACGAACCTAAGTGGGGCCATCTACGACTAGCAAAGCACTGACTCACAACAGTGTGGGAAGTACAGCCCACGGGTCTATTATGTTTTTAGATAAGCTGTGCAGGCCGGGGTTGGGGGCGAGGGTGGGCAGAGCTGTGCTATCTGCTCCTGGTGACCTAGAACTCAAAGTCTCCCTGTCCTTCTTCCTCTCTCTCTTTTTTCCATGTATGTGTATGGACATTTTGCCTGCCATGTATGTGTTCGTACCAGATGCAGTCAGCGCCTGGAAAGCCAGAGGAGGAGGTCAAATCCTCTGGAACTGGAGTGAGCTGCCATGTGGGTGCTGGGAATCGAACCTGGGTCCTCTAGAAGAGCAGCTAGTGCTCTTAACTGCTGAGCCATCTCTCCAGCAGCGACCCCCTCCCCAAACTATCTTGCCTCTTTTAACCATGTGCTAAGGTTATAGGGATGTGCCCACTACACCTGGCATACAAGTCTATCTCCTTATGGATGTAGTGATTTTTAGCTTTATTTTAAAGGGGACTTAAAAAAAAAATTAGTCAGGCCAGGCCAGGCCAGGCATCCAAAAAACAATAAAGAAAATTCTCATGCAGCATTAGAGATAAATGTTTTTGGTAGAAAATCCTAGTGTGCGCTATAAACACGATACCTATGAGAGCCCAATGTGGCACTGCCTGGACCACTTTGTGCCCACTGCGAGGGACAGTGGCACTCAGGTGACCGAATCATGCTATAAACTCGGGTTCTGTTTCTACGAAGAGAAGATGGGACTTACCCTGCTAGTGTTATGACAACTTGACACAAGCTAGAGTTATCTGAAAGGAGGGAACCTCAATTGAGAAAATGCCGTCATAAAATCCAGCTGTAGGGCATTTTCTTGATTAGTGACCGATGGGGGAGGCCCAGCCCATTGTGGGTGGTGCCTCCCCTGGGCTGGTGGTGCTGGGTTCTATGAGAAAGCAAGCTGAGCAAGCCTTGGGGAGCAAGCCAGTAAGCAGCACCCCTCCATGGCCTCTGCATCAGCTCCCGCCTCCAGGTTCCTGCCCTGTTTGAGTTCCTGTTCTGACTTCCTTTGGGGATGAAGGTCAATGTGGAAGTGTAAACCAAATAAACTCTTTCCTTCCCAATTTTCTTTTTAGATATGGCGTTTTGTCGCAGCAATAGAACCCTAACTAAGACAGGCTCACCCGAGCTCACCGAGATTTAAGGCAACCCTTTAGCAACTGCCTTGGGGACCTGCAGTGAGGCGGGGTCCTGGGAGACAGCTTGCTTGTTTGCTGTGATTATCATACCACACCAGGCTGAGGACTCCCTGGCACAGCTCGAGGAGCTCAGATACACTTAGTACAGCTTCATCTAGGGAAGTGGAGACATGTCCCTGACAGAAAGAAAGGAAAGCCAATGCCTGTTCAGAAATGGGATGTTTAACGAGAGTTTAACTAGAGGTGTGTCTTGTTTTTATTTTTCCTACCTTTCTTGTTCTTCCTCCTCGATGAAAATTTTCAAAGAGTACACTGGAACAAACCAGCCCCTCCCATCCAAAGTCTGATCCTCACGCTTGGTCCCCATAGCAACCAGAGGGATTATGGTTTCTATAGTGAAATGTCTCCACAGTGCAAGTGCCCTGTTTATTGCCACACATCAAAACTTACTGGCAGTCACCTGACATCTGTTTATTTTTTGGTCCAGATATTCCCACGTGTGACTGCCTTATGGCTAACATGGTGTGATTCAAGATGAAAGAGGAGAGATGTACTACTGTCTTCAGTGTGGGACAGAAGAGGCTGAAGGCAGCGGTTCTCAAACTGTGGGTCACCACCCTGAATGAACCTCTCACAGGGGTCGCCTCCGAGTGTCAGAAAACACAGATGCTCATGTTATGATTCACAACAGTAGCAAAGTTACAGTTACGAAGTAGCAGTGGAAATAATTTTGTGGTGGGGGGGGTCACCACAGCACGAGGAACTGTGTTAAAGGGTCAGAGCATCAGGAAAGACTGAGAACCCCTGGCTTAAGGTATGCTCCCGGCTTTCACGATGACGATGACCTAGTCCAGAGCTGGGTGGAGCCAACGACTAAAGACCTACTGAGTTCCTAAAACCTACATGGTAAAGATGAGTCACTCTTGCGATGCTTCTCCCAGTCCCCAGTTTTAAGCGACAAGCCACAGGAGGGGAGATACAAGGCGGCAAACGAGCGAAAACGGAGAGGGCAAGGGGCTGAAGCAAGTTTAGGAATTATGGCTCCCACTCTTAGAAAAGCAGCTTGCTCTGTGGGTGTGTCCCTCACACACAAACTGGCCACCGCTAACCTGGACGACGAGTAAGCCGTGTGTCTAAGAGGTTTATGTGTCTGGAAGCCTTCATTAACTGTGCTCCCGGAGCCGGGGGTCCTGAGGCCAGGGGCACGGGCACCTACCGAGCAGTACACGTCTGCCATCTGTAGGAGGTTTTTGGTGCTTCCGTTCTCGTGCATCTCAATGGCCTCCCGGCCCCATTCCTGTGAGCGAGGGTTCTTGGGGTACTCGGCGTATGGGGACATTTGGAAGTCCCCGCTTTTGAAGATGAGTTTACTTATGTCGTTTTTACTCTTCCTGTGAGATTTAAGAAATAAAAATTTTAAAAAAGGGCAACAAATCCCATCGGGAAACGTAGAATTCCTATGTGTCAGGAACTGAAATCTTCGACAAGACTGACAGTGTTTCGCAACGGAAATTGAGACTGGGAACGGCCCCTGTGTTTCCACACGGCTGCCCACCAGAAATACCAGTATAATTTAGAATTTGACTAAAAAAGCAGAACTGCCATTAGGTGTCCCCAATGCCACCCAAAAAATAGGACAAAAAAAAATAAAATAAACTTCCCAACTTAAAGAGCCTAAGCAGAGCATGAAGATCGTTCTAAGAAGCCAGGGAATCAGCATTCACAGTCAGCTGTGGGCACAAAGGCAACGGGTGACCATCAACGCTGCTCTTGGGTTCCTGGTGGGGAGCCAGAGCATATGGCGGTTCTAGCTCATGAAGACAGGTGACTTAGACCCTGGCTCGCCTGCAGCTATAGAGCCCGGGGCATGGGGGGTGGGGTGGGGGTGTGTGGCCTCTCCTCTCCCTAGTCAGGGTTTAATCCCAACTTCACGAGCCACAAAACCTCAAGTGGGGCCACCTGCTTACAGACTCTCCACGCTGTCATTCTAGCTGCCCCAGGAAGCCCAGAAACCCTGAGGTTTCCCTGCCTAGAAACGGACAGGGCAACTGCCCTAGAACCTGTCTTGTGGGTGGAGGATCAGAGATGTTTGATTATGTTTGCTCTCAGTAAGAACACCTGAAGCCTGTTCCCTCACCCGCACTTGTGAGTTCCTGGGAAGGGCACAGAAATGACTCAGCATCGTAAAGCTGAAGCCCGGCAAATGGCCTCAGCGCTGTCTCCCTTCAGGCTCAGAGCTGGCCTGCCACTACTTCCCTTTCAGTAACCGAGAGTCCAGGCTCCCTCCAAAAATGACCATGTTGTGTGATAGAGAATGTTGCCAATACAAAGCCTGTGTCCTCCCAGCTGTCAGGCTTTGTTTCCCTGGGTAACTGCTCTCAACCGGTTTATTTCCGCTGGTGCTTATCCTTAGCAACACTTTGATGCAAGGTTATTGGGGTAGCCTGCACACCTGAGTGACTGCTTATAGTAAGATATTCTTGGCAGCCTTCCTGGAGGCAGGGGATGCCTTTAAAAGTCCTTTTATCACTGGCACAAAAAAAGATAACTAGCAATTTGGGAAAGGTCCCTCCACCTGTCATGTGCAAATGACTCCTTCCATTTCATATCATCTAGATCAACACGGCTGTAATTTTCCTGTACTCGAACAGGTGGCTGTAGACAAGGAGGATTCATTCTCTCCTTTCTCTCCCCTTCCCGCAGACACTCCGTTGCAGGAAGCCTTGAGCAAGGTTCCGCTAAAATAGTTCAGGCAGTCCCTTCCCTCCATCTGTCTGCTTCCCTAGCTTACGTATATATGCACAGCTCTGAGAGATGAATAGTACAACTCTATGATTTACTCATTTCATGGTTTTGAACACATTCACGGTGGTGCGACTGTCCACCGTCACAATTTTAGAACCACTTCATCATCTCTAGAAGAAGCCCCAGAATTTTAAAACCACTTCGTCATCTCCAGGAGAAGCCTCAGACCCCTTAGCCATCACGCCCAGTTTTCCAACTTCTCTGCCCTAGACTCCAACTGGTCTACTCTCCGTCTCCGTTAGACACAGACTACTCCAATAACTCCTATTCCTATCACAGCCCAGAGGATCTTTCAGGTGCCTTTTCACATGGGATGAGGTTTTGACGGTTGGTCCCATATGTCAGCCAATGGCTGAACAAGGATCCCAGGTACTGCTCTGTCACGTTTGGCTTTTGTATTCATCAGCCCACAGGCACTAGGATTCTTTCCCCTTTTGACTCTTAGGAATAGAACTGCTGTGAAGACGGGGATTCATGTTCTTGCCTGGGTGTGTCCACTGGAAGTCCTGGGCTTAGCAGACCTTCAAAGGTGCTTCTGTCCCCCAGTCATGTAGGGACATAAGGACCCAATTCTGCCACGCCCTATCTATCTATCTATCTATCTATCTATCTATCTATCTATCTATCCATCCATCCATCCATCCATCCATCCATCCATCCATCTATCATCTATCTATCATCTATCTATCTATCTATCTATCTATCTATCTATCTATCTATCTATCTATCTATCTATCTATCTATCTATGACAGTCTCACGGTACAGCCCTGGCTGTCTTAGAACCTGGAGCCCACTGTGTAGACCAGGTTGGCCTTTAACTCAAGGAGATCCAAGTGTCTCTGCCTCCTGAGTGCTGGGATTAAAGATGCGTGCTGTCACCAAGTTGGGCTGTTTCTTACTTTTAAAACAGTCGCCTGTATCTCTGGCTGGCTTTGCACTTGCTTTCTAGCCGAGGATGACTTTGAAGTCTTGATTCCTCCTGCCTTTACCTCCTTGGCTGGGATCACAGGACAACACCATGCTTATTTTTTCGTTTCTGCACGTGTGGGGAGCAAACACAGGGCTCCATGCACGCCAGGCAAGCACTCTGCCAACTGCACCAGGTCCTCAGCTCCAGAGCTTGAAAGTTCTTGATTTTGATAAAGTCTAATGCACCTTTTTATTTATTTATTTAACTTTGGTTCTTTTAGAGACAGGGTCTTACTATGTAGCCCAGGCTTGCCTAGGTCTTGCTATGAGCCCAGGCTGGTCTCAAAGTCATATTCCTTTCACCTCAGTTTCCCAAGTGCTAGTTTATTCAGTTGAAAAATCAACCCTCATGTAGCACAGGTGGTAAATCAGGATTTAAATCTGAATTCTCATCACTCACCTGCAACAGGTCACAATAAGCGCAATGCCCAGGATGAGTAGGAGGCCGCCTCCCGCTGCTGCGATCACCACAGTGATGAGTTGATAGGCTAACCATGTCCAGCAAAAGAGCAAACAGGATGGATGGTGAGGAGGTCCTGAGTAATAAGCCTCTGCCCCACCCCCACCTCTGCCTGTGTGGCCCTAGCCCAGCACTCTCTTCTGCTGCCTGGTTTCTGGCCCAGAGAGCCTCAAAGGCTGGAGTTCCACTTTCTTTGTATTGATCGGATATCCCTTTTCCTCTAGGGTGATGGCCCTGAAATTCTTCAGTCTCAGATGTCACTAAACCACAAAAGGGGAATAAATGGGCGAGCATCAACTTTCCCCAACACTGTTCTGAAAGATTTTTACACTTACATTTTCTTGTCTCTCTCACCTAAGATGGGTGCCTTTAATCGTGTGAAAATTATACATCTGGAAATTTAACTTCTTATCTTAATGGTAACAGTAAAGATAAAGATGCTAGATTCACACTGAAGGCAGAGGCAAGCAGAGCTCTATGAGTTCAAGGCCAGCCTGTTCTACATAGTGAATTCCAGCCAAGCCAGGGCTGCAGTGAGACCCTGCCTCAAAAAAATCAAACAAAGGAGGCTGGAGAGATGGTTCAGAGGTTAAGAGCACCAGCTGTTCTTCCAAGGGTACTGAATTCAATTCCCAGCAACCACATGGTGGCTCACAACCATCCATAATGAGATCTAGTGCCCTCTTCTGGCCTGCAGGTGTACATGCAGACAGAACACTATATAAATAATAAATAAGTCTTAAAACAAAACAACAGATGCTTAGTGCAGTTTTAGGGTCTAACTTGGTAAAACAGAACTGAGACAGGTTAAACTCTTCAATTTCAGAAGAAATATACTACTGGTCTGCTAAGTACAGGGTCTAGGTCACTGCATAAACCATGCCAGAGACCCAGGAAGCTACTTATATATTGACTTAATTACCAGAAATTAGCACTGATAGAGGCATATCATGTATAATAATGCTAAAAGATCTAAGTAAATGTGTTTTATACTTGTATATTTGTAGCAAATTTATTTATAATAAATCATATTAAAATTTCCATTTTTTCTTCTGGGAAATATGATTAAAATTAGTTTATCAAGTTGCAAGACAGAGTATGAAAGGCCAATAACTAGGGTTTTTGTTTGTTTGTTTGTTTGTTTCCCCAAAGAAAAGGTTTCCCTGTGTAGCTCTGGCTGTCCTGAAACTCCATCTGTAGACCAGGCTGGCCTCGAAATAAAAAAGATCTACCTGCCTCTCCCTCCTAAGTGCTAGGATTAAAGGTGTGCTCCACCATTACCTTTTTTGCTTTTTTTCCTGCTATGTTTATTTCAAATTAATATCACAGATCAAGCCCACAGCTAAACAACACATCTGCCTGAGGTTTGCATAGCAATTCACAATGTTTTTATTCCTTTTTCCCTTAATTATGGTTCTGAACCCTTTTGACACTCTCTCCCATTTTTGCTTTTTTAGTTGAGACAGGCACTCACTCATTAGGAGTGTAGAACTCACTATGTAGCCCAGGCTAGCCTCAAAGTTGAAATAATCCTCCTGTTGGAGCCTGGGATTACAGTCACGTGCTACCATGTCTAGCTTTTTCTGTTCTTAAAAACCAAAGTCTAAACTAGGCATAGTGGTGCGCACTTTTAATCCCAGGACTCGGGAGACAGAGGTAGGCGGACCTTTGTAAGTTCTAGGCCAGCCTGGTCTACACAGCGAGCTCCAGGATAGCAAGGACAACATAGAAAGACCCTGTCTCAAAAAACAAAAACAACAGAAACCGTTTAACTCTTACTTATTCTACACATCAAGCTACTTTTTCTGACTTTAGGCAAAACAATCGAACAGCCGTTATGAGAGTGATCCTTGCAAGTGGCTGCGGGTTACAGCACATTCCTCTTTGAAGTAAACAGTTTTGTCTGAAAAACAATATACTTGGCAGGAAGGGACTGGATAGCATCCTGTTAAGTAAAATAAGCCAGGCTCAGGAATATAAATATTGCCTGCTTTCTCTCATATGAGAAACCTAAATCAAAAAAACACGTGTTTCACACATGCGCACACACACACACAAGCACACCAGTGACACGAAAGCAGAAGGCAGACAACGAGGAGGAAGAAATAACTCTGGCTATACAGCCTAGGATGACCTGGAACTCACCACGTAGCCCAGGCTGGCCTGATCTCAAGATCCTTCTAGCTTTCACCTTCCAAGTACTAGAATTACAGGCATGTGCCACCAGACCTGGCTGGATGGCTTTTTAAATAAACAAAATAAAGCCTTACTTGTTCCCCCAACTTTCCCTCTAGGGATCACCTATCACACACTGCCTTTTCGTTTTCTTTTGATGACATCCACCGTCGACCCATTGTTAAAAAGCAACGATCCTGTTTGTAAGGGTCCGCCCGCCTGGATGTCATACTAATGTAAACACTTCTCAGTGCGTATGCGACAACAGCATGAGATCTGCTGTAAAACGGATGGCGCGAGGAAATACACTAAGTGAGGTAACCCAGACTCAGAAATCTGGCACCCAGCTTGTAATGTTTATATGTGGGTATATGAGCAGGGTGAGCATTAACAAAACTAAAAGAGAGACCATGGGAGGCAGGGGACAAAAAGGGGCTGAAGGGGGAAAGCAGAAGGATACATGTGACAAGAGAAAAGGGGGAAAGGCTCTGGGAGGGTGGGAAGGTCTTGAGGGGCACGCAGGGTAAAGAGAATTAACATAAAAGGATCACGTCTGAGAGAACGTCAAGATGAGACCTGGAAGGGTGTACGCCAAGGAGAAACTCTGAAACAAGAGAAGCAGTAACAGAAAGAAGCAGGGTGGAAAGATCTCACGCGCCCTTTACCGTCTCTATCAAGGGCAATGTCACACAGAATCATTTTAGCTCATCTTTGGGGCACCGGTGCCAACCTCCGCTTCCTGCGCCTCAAGAGCTTCACGGGGTCTTCCCTCTCCAGGGCCAACTGTCGCGTCTACTTCTAGCTCTGCAGGCGCTGGGAGTGTTTCACCGGGATACGGACGGGGATACCATCTCTGTCTGTCCTGGGCTTTCTAGTCTGAGGAGATGCTGCAGAATGAAGCCGGGGTTCCTCCTTCCACATGAACACGTGTGGAGAGTCCAGCGCCCCACTGCCACCTCTCGGGCCAAGGCTGCGCTCTTTGCCTGCATTTTCCACCAAACCAATAACTCTGGGCTCCGCCTTCCTCAGGAGCCCTCAGCTTCGCTTATACCGTTCTGCTCGGAAGAAGCCCGTCGTCTGCATAGCCCTCCCTATCTAGGAAGTATTTATTCCCTCCGTCTGCAGTGGGGATGCTCGCTCATGTTGACATCCTTGGCCACAGCTGATGAGAAATGAGTATGTGACCCAAACTTAGGTGGAAAGCAGAGGGAGCGTTCTCCTTCAAGATGGCCGAACCACAGTATTTCACGCTCAAGAGTTGGGTGAGGACCCTGTTTCCCCACCACGTGGTCTGGGAAGAGCAGAAAGCCTGTGCACAGCCACGTGGAGCAAAAGCAGAGAGGGGGCAGAGTCACGCTCGGGTGTGTTCTGGAAGTTCTGATCTCAGCTGCCAAGGCGCCCACTCCAGCGATTCTTGCCACGCCTGACAAGTCCTTCCAGTAAACTCTGCAGAGCTCACCAGCTCTTACGTCAGGAATTTAATCAACAAACATACCTTCTTTCTTTAAAACTGCACAACAGAGCATTCTAGGTAGCCTTACCGGTTTTCTTTTAAAATTTATTTAGTGCTTAAGCACCTATGGCCCGTGTTGCCTTTGAAGCTTTCCCATCTCTGAGGAAGGCCATCCTCTCCTTTCCCTGAAGTCTCCCTTCCTCAGGTCTCTAGGCTATGTGGGAATCGACCCTGTGCCCTCCATTAAGACAGCTGACCTTGTGACTTTTCCACTCTCTGCTGGGGGTTCTGTCTCTTCCATCTCACCAGGGCTGTGGGGATATGCAGCACAGAAGAGTGCTCTCCTCCGGCCAGCCCTGCTCCCCTCCCGTCCCGATGGGAAGGGAAGCCAGCTGAGGCCAGTGGAATGCCTGCTTGCACTGACATCTGGGAGAGACTCGTGTCTCCTCCTCCTGGTTTGTTTCTGTCTTTCTAGGTCGACTCCTCCTGACACAGAGAAGACCCTCTCTGATTTGAATCTCCGTGTAGCCCCATGGATGACAGAGAGGAAAGTGGGTGGGTAAAGACAGCGGGAGTTTTGTTAAATGGAATGCCTTAGATGCTTGGAAGAGACTGTAAACAGAAACGACAGCTCTAAAAGTCATCGAGAAGGGGTTAAGGATGAAAATTCGCCCACGAGAGCTAGAGCCTTTGAAGGAAAGGGCACATGGAAAGGGTATGAAAGACGGATGGACAAGAATGTAGGAAGAAACTGATCAGGAAGAACAGTGTGAGTTCTACCGTTGAGGCGACAGTGACTATAAATCAGAGAAATGGCTTAGAGGATGAGCCCATAAAAAAGCGTCATAAAAGGTCACCAGAGGGAAGCACGTAAGTAAATGATAGTGTAAAACAGTATGGCACTGTCCAAAGGGACACAGCAAGAGTACAGAAACAAAAACACCGCACAGCTAACCAGGTCACAGAGCTGGAAACACGGCTCAGCCCTGGCTGCTTTCCAGGCGGGCTGGGTTTGATTCCTGGCTCCCTCGAGGCAGCTCACAACCATCTGTGACTCCAGTTCCAGAGGATCCAATGCCCTCCTCCGGCCTCCGAGGACACCGGTCATGCGCATTGTGCAGATATGATGTACATGCACGTAAAATGCTCATTTACCGAAAATAAAATCTTAATTTTAAAAGTTAAAAACAGGTTACAAAACAGTATATCCAGCGAGGCCCGATTCCTTGAAAGAGAGACCCACATCCACACGGATGACATCTGTGCTCTCTAAGCTGTAGGATGCGTGCAGGACACATGCGAGTTGCTGAGTTGGGAAAGTTTCCAGATTGTGATTCCGTCGGTATGGAGAGAGGAGGTCTGAAACTCTGTCAGGTTAGGTGCCTGGTAGCCGGAGCTGCCGGTCCTCACGCAGCCGGTGTGAGGCAGGTGAGTGACGGGCGACGGGCAGTACCCACGCCCTCTTTCTTTACCTTACACCTCTGCTCTGACTGACTTGGGGTCTGAAAAGGGAGATCAATGGTTTTACATCCTTCTATGCTATGGCAATGTAAACTTAATTTTAAAAACAGAAAAAAGTGTCTGGCATGGTAGTGCAGACCTGTAATTCCAGCTCTTGGAAGGCTGAGGAAGGAGGATTGTGAGGCCATCTGAGGTTACAAAATAAAAGTTTCAGGCTAGTATGGGAGATATGTTAGATCCTAATTCAACAAACATACACATACACATATACACATATATATACACATACACATACATATGTACATATGTACACATACATACATACACACACACACACACATACAAATACACATTAACAAGATGGGAAAAGGGTGAAGCAACTCAAAGGGGAGACACTACCCACCTGCACAGGGGAATCAACACACAACTCAGGCAACAAAGAAAATGTGGAAGCCTAAGAGAACAGCAGAGGTCTAGGGACAGGTCGGGTCACACAGTTAGGAAAGAATTCTGGACAAGGGGGACAGAAGACACAGCTGTTAGAATACGGGGTATAAACAAAGACAGACGTTCCATGGGAAGAAGAGAAATCAGCCAGTTGGCGTCCTGAGCCCTGGGTGTGGGTGGCCTGCATGTCCTTGGAAAGCAAAGCCTCCGGAAAGATGAATCCTACCCCTCTGAAGGATATTTTCTACAAGACGAAAGGAGTGGAACCTGGGCAGAACGAGAAAGCTAGCAGCAAGAACCTTTAAAAAGGCAGGACACAGATGATCCCTCTGCCTAGAAGATCCTGGAACTGGAAGACAGCTAGGAATGCATTACTGAGAGAATTTCAAGGTCACGCAGTAGCTGGAAAAAGCTGGCTCAGAGACCTCACTGGGCTTGAGAACAGTGTGTGTCGAGGAATCTATCTAGAGACATTTCCTGCCTACAGAAAATCTAGCCTGATAGGCTGGGCCTGGTAGAGCACACTTGTTAACCCCAGAACTCAAGAGATGGAGGCAGGAAGGATGGTTGAGGAAGGAGTTTAAGGCTAGCCTGGGCTACATAAGAGTAAGCTCACATTTCCAAACTAATGAAGAAAACAAAGATCAGGTTGAGTGACGGCTCCTGTACAAACACTGAATGGTGACTCACAGCCTCCTCGGGTGTTTTCATCAACAGTGGGGAGCTATTCAGGTGTCCCCCAACTCCATAACCAACCAACAGGGCTGGGCCCACACTGCAAATGAGGAGCCAGGTAGTAAGTGTCTCTCAGCATGGGCTGCTAAAGCATGAACAGTAAATATCACTGTAAATGTTATCACAAGTCATAACATTTTTATCAGCTACCATAAAATGCTTTACAGAGGTAATTTGGCATAGACATCAGAGTCAGCATAGTTTAATATAAACTGTCAACAGCAGTCCAGGCAGGTGCCTGCCCTCTGCTGGATGTAATGATGGTCACTTGGATAAATGGAGAGAGAAAAGTGGTCTCAGGGACCTGAGTGAAATTCTGGTTATTTCTCAGACTCCACGAACAATGGGGTTGACATGATTATTTGACCATAAGAGCATAGAGATTAAATGGACACAGGACATGCATATCCTAGATGGGTAGTAGCGATGGCCATTCATAGCAAGACAACCACCAATGGCACACAGCCCAGGACACGAATGCATGCAAATACCACCACTGCATGCAGAAAGATAGCCATTCACTGGAACAGAAAGTAGAAAGATGTTGAACCCAGCACTCGGGAAGCAGAGGCAGAGGCAGAGGCAGAGGCCTCTCAGAGTTCCAGGCCAGCCTGGTCTATAAAGTGAGTTCCAGACCAGACAAGAAAGACTTTGTCTCAAAAGAAAAAAAAAAAAAGAAAGAAAGAAAAAACAAAGGTATGCTAGGGGAGAAAGGCTAAGCTAAGCCTGATGGGTACACAGAAGACATAAAATGTGAGGCATACAAGCAATGGGGCAGAGCGCTTAGTACACAGAGAATAAAATCACAGCTGCTTCCAACCTCAGATAGTTACCACTCCCACGTTTACCTGCACAACAAGGGACAAAGCTACCCTAAAACCATCCTGATTGCTACTGATTCATATACACAAATTGTTTCATAATTTTCAAGCTAATTTCTGTGTCAAAAGTATCTGCAGATATGAAAAATGCCAAGCGCAAGCAGATGGAAGCTGCCTCAAACTGCTCCTCAGAGCGGACTGCCCAGAGGAAGCCTCCCTGCCTGCCGCACGGTCAGTGCGCGTGGCCATGCTTTGACGGAGCTGCACTCTCCTTCAGGGAGTAAGGCTCTGTCGCACAGCGTGTGATTTCTGAGGCTGGTCCTCCTGCCCAGCCGTACTGCACCGGAAGTCTCCTGAAGCTAGCTTGCTCTCTACAGTCTCTGTGGCTTTCTCTAGTCATGTAAGTCTTCTGTGCTGTGATCACTGAGTGCCATCTGCCCAACAGTTGTTTTTTTCTCTCTCCCCCCCCCTTTTGTTTATACAGCATTCTGCCTGTGCAGCAGAATTGGGCACCAGATCTCATCATAGGTGGTTGTGAGCCACCATGTGGTTGCTGGGATTGAACTCAGGGCCTTTAGAAGAAGAGCTAGTGTTCTCAACCTCTGAGCCTTCTCTCCAGGCCCCTGCTTCCTCTCTTTTTCTCACACACAGGACTTAAGCACACGGTGGAGAAGAGAGGAGCTGATCAGCAGGCCAGGCTCCACCCAGTCACAATTCTCTACTTTGGAATACTTACGATTTCCACAGTTGAAACCACCGAGGCCGAATGGGCAACTGTAAGTCAAAAGAGACAAAAGAGGGTTCAGCCTCAAATCTCAAAAGCTATCACGAGGCAATGTTTGTGAGAAAGTTCTGTATTTAGGACAGTTCTTTATTAGGATGGTCTGCCTTTTTCTCTTTTCTTTCTCTCTCTTTTGTCCAGAGACAGTGTGTCTTTGTGTAGCTTTGCCTGTCCTGGAACTCACTTCGTGGAGCAGGCCAGTCTTCAACTCAGAGATCTGCCTCCCTCTTCCTCCCAGGTGCTGGGATCAAAGGTGTGTGCCAACGCTGTTCCACCTGGATGGTCTGTCTTTTAGGGCAGCGTTTCGAAAAAACATTTGTAACAGCTTCATCGGAAAAAGTGAATGGGAAGCCTACCTCATACAGGTTTCATTTTCAAGCCGATATCCATCTTCACACGCTGAAAGAGAAAAGGAAAATCCATGAGGATCTACATGGCCACAACTTCCATCCAATTAGACAGCAGCTACCCAAAAACCCACGAGAATATTCTAGAAGCAGAAAAACTTAAGTCTCCCTTTGTAATTATTGTCCAGAAGGTACAATTCTTTTAGGAAGTTCCCCAGAGAGGAAGACCATCACACATGGAAGAGCCTTCCATTATAACAAAGGCAAACCTTTACCCACTGTGACACCCTCATTGTGACCTGGCTCCCTTAGCTCTCTTCCATGAGGAAGTAGAAGTGTTGTGGGTGACACCCTCTGGAACCCAGTCCTGGCCGATGCCCAGGTTTTCATAAGTGAGTATTTACCCCATAATCTATGCCAGGGATTCTAGGCATATCTAGTTGTAGCCTCATTTTCACCTTGCCAAGAGCACAGCTTTGAACCCTCTGGTGGTGCAGTGCTCACTGTTTAACAAGACAGGCTAACGCCGGCCTCTCCTCCTGGATGAGCAGTTCTCAAGCTTGTCTGAGCACAGGGTACTTTTGATAGTTCAACAACTCAACCAAATACCAGGAGTGGTAATGCACAGATGGATGGAAGCAGAAAACGAAAAATGTGCCCCATTCCCCTGTACACAAATTCCTTGTGGCAAGGAATGATAAAAATTTGATTAACAATTAATGCCTGATACGCACTGCAGCAGATCAGACCGAGAGAGAGAGAGAGAGAGAGAGAGAGAGACATACAGAGAGAGACAGACAGACACAGAGAGAAAGAGGCACAGAATGTAGACCTGCCAACAGGGCAGGTGGGAGAGACATGGGGACAGTGGAGAGTAGCAAGGATGAGCATAGGTTGGAGACGGGACGCCCTGCAGGGTGGGGTGGGAGGGACAGGGCATCGTGGGCTGGTGGTGGTGTCCCACAGACTTTCTGCGTTCTGCCATGAATCTGTGCATAACTGTATTATCTGTGTAGATGCTTCATATTTTTCTTATTTTAAGTTTTTAAAAATTTCCTTTCTACATGTCGTTCAGTGTTACTTGTTTTTTTTTTTTTTTCTTAATATGTTATTTATTATGTATACAGTATTCTGCCTGCATATGTGCCTGCATGCCAGCAGAGGGCACCAGATCTCATTATAGATGGTTGTGAGCCACCACGTGGTAGCTGGGAATTGCACTCTACTTGATGGGCACCTGGACTGTTTATCTTTTTGTTTTGTTTTTGTTTTTCCAAGTCAGGCTCTTTCTGTGTAGCCCTGGCTATCCTGGAACTCTCTGTAGGCCAGGCTGCCGACTGTTTATCTTAAGCAGCAGTCACAAGAAATCCCTATGGCACCTACTGCAGGATGCCATGGACCACACCACCACAATACCACAGTAACCTTGGTGAGCATGTCCAGAGAAACGTCTTGTGGGCCTCCATGCCTGGAGCACACTAGTGTGCTTTCTTTGCCTTCTGGGACCTGACTCTTTTCGAAGCCACGATCTTTCTGGTTCTGCGTTAGGATCTGATCTTAGACTTTGACTGTATGGCCTTCCTTGGCAAATACATCATTTAGCTTTCTGCGTGGTCACTTTCCTTCAAGCCTCAGCAGAGTAGCCAGTTTTCCCTTTAGTCTGACTCATCTTTTAATTATGGACATTTGCTGGCTTGGCACTCATAATTCTCTTGCTTTGGAGTCCCAAGCCTGAGGTCACAGGCAGGTAACCTATGCCCGTTACCCTCTTTAATGCCATATCTAACCAGACAAATTGGTGATGTTTTTAATAATAATAATTTAGCAAGGTGCAGTGGTACACACTTTTAATCCCAGCCTTCTTGAGGCAGAGGCAGGCAGGTCTTTGTGAGTTTGCGGGTGGCCTGGTCTACAGAGTGAGACTCGAAAAGAAAATTACGTTACTGTAATGAGCTTACAAACACAAATATCACTCAAACACACACTTGAAACACACACTTGACCTGATCCAGGGTCTAGACATTTTCGTGAACTTCTATTACAGTTAGATTGACTATGCGGAAGCCACAAGCAGGGTTTTACACTTTAACTATCGGTTACATTTTTATGCATTTACCCACCACAAAAAAACCCCAAAAAGCATGATACAGCTGAAACTATAAAAATAACATAGTCTCTTTGGTGTCCTTTGGCCTTTATTCTGGCCCTCCTCATTATCCGCTATTATCCTTATTTGGTCTCCTTTCTAAATGTTATACTACACCCCCACTAACACTGTTTGTGTATATACATACATACATACATACATTGTGGGCCAGGATCTGCGTGTAAGAGAGAACACGTGGTTCTGTTCTGGATTTTTCCTTTCTGGATTTGGGTGACCTTGCTTAACAGCATACTTTCTAATTCCACATATTTCCTGCAAATCTCATAATCTCGTTTTTCTTTACCACTGAATAATATTCTATCTCATTTTGTAATATTGACCCGTTTTTTTATTACCTGTTTACCTGCTGATGGGAAACTAGGCTGGTTTCGGTTCCTTGCTATCATAAATGGAGCGGCAATAAATATGGGTGTGTAAGTATCAGGATGCTAGGGCATGGGGTTCTCTGTGGCTAGATGCCAGGAGTGAGACAGCTGACTTGCACAGTTCTATTTTTAACCTTTTCAGTAACTTCTCAACTGATTTCCATACTGTGTATTGATTTCACCCTCACCAGCAGTGAACAGGGGTAGAGGAGGTGAGGGGGGGGGGTCTCTTTCTTTCCTACATCATCGTCTCTAACATCTGTTGTCAGATTTGTTGATGAGAGCCATTCTGACTGGGGTGAGGTGCTACCTCAAAGCCGTTTTCATTTGCATTTCCCTGATGGCTAGGGATGCTGAGCACTTTTAAAAATAGCTACTGTCATTTGTGCTTCTTCTTTTGGAATTCATTTCATTCTCCCTGCCCAGTCACTACCTTTTCAAATTTGTAATCCATCTATTTTACTTTGTATGTGTGTGTGTCACAGAGCAAAAGCGGAGGTCAGAGAATAACTCTCAGAAGTCATTTCTCTTCTGTCATCTTATGGGATCTGGGAATTGAACTCAGGCCATCAGGCCCATGCCTCTATCCACCGAGCCACCCTGTTGGTCCCCTCTCAATACTTAAAAAATCTTGTTTCTTTCTATGAATGTTCTCCCCCCCACACACTTTGGTTTTTCAAGACAGGGTTTCTCTGCGTAGCCCTGGCTGGCCTGGAACTCAAGAGAGATCCGCCTGCCTCTGCCTCCTAGGATTAAAGGTGTGTGCTACCACCGCCCAGATCATTATGTGAATTTTCAATAGGTGTTTTAAATTCCTTTTTTCAACAAGATAGAGTAGAATCATGTCCTAGTTTGAGAAGAGATGACACGCTGAGTTCTCCGCTGGCCTTAGGAGAGCAGGCAGGCCCTCCTCTACGGAACAAGCAGAGTGCTCCTGCCTTTTCCTGACCTAAGCGGAAACCTGTGTGCCCCTACTCATGCCCTCCTCCCACTCCGTGCCTCTGTGTCATGCTACCGTGGGGCTGTGGGACTGAGGGAAGCCCCTGAGGGAAGATTCCTGCCTCCCACTGCAAGAGCGCTCTCCGGGGACCGTCCACCTGTCTCAGCACCGAGGTAGGCTGATGTCACCGTCCTATTCTATTCAGAACACCTCTTCCTGAAATCATTTTTATACCCATCTACCCTCAGGTGCCGAGCGGGAGCTCTCCACTCCCAGCTGTTACCCAGCCGTGTACAAAGTCCATCTGTTGCCCTGCCTATGGGTTCCAGCTGGTGGCTTGGGCTACTTTCATTTATCATTCAAAGTATCCCGACTCCCTGATGTAATGACAGTTCTCTAATCAAAAGGACATGAGCTGGTGAGGTAACCCAGTGGGTAAAGGCACTTGCCACCAAGCCTGATGACCTGAATTCGGGCTTCAGGACCTGGTGGAAAGAGAAGCCACTTCCATAAGCGGCCCTCCCACCACCAGGCGTATAACCTCACAGAAGACAAACGAACAGAGAAAGACATGCAAAGGATTTTTTTAAAGGGGTGTATCTATTTTTTATCAAAGACTGAGTGTTCCCGTGTGCCTGGTGTTGCTCTTGGGTCTCTCAGGGAGAACCTTGCCAGTAAAGGCACTCTGAGTTCCTCATCCCAGAGGAACTCTGACCCCCAGAGCACGAGAGACAGAAAGCATGTGGCGAGAATTTGCATATATGACCTCACAGGCCTTCTCCTACTGCTAAGGAAAAACAGAAAGCAAAGTCAAGCTTAAAGTATATGGTGGAATCTTGATAACTCCTTTGCAGGAAGGACACGGAGTAAAGAAACACTGATCATCCCAAGACATAGCTACTGTCCTACGGTCACTTTCACTTCATTAGACACTTGAACTTCATCCTACAAACAGTTCTGGCACTGAAGGCACTTGCCGTCTGACAAGCTGAAGGCTCAGAATCTGGGCTGCAGAGGTGGCTCCGTGATTGAGAGCACTTACTGCTGCCAGGAGACAGGAATTTGGCTCCCAACCACCTCAACTCCCACTTGAAAGGATGTGGTGCCCTCTCCTGGACTTTTAAGGTATTTGCACACATGTAGCCCACACAGAGACACACAAACACATAAAATTAAAATGAAAGATTGACAGGTGTGATGGTACATGCCTTTAATCCCAGCACTAAGAGGGCAGAGGCAGGCAGATCTCTCTTCAAGGCCAACCAGGGCCACACAGTGTAAAACCCCATCTTAAAAAAACAACACACTGGGTGTGGTGGCACACACCTGTAACCCCAGCACTCTGGGAAGTAGAGGCAGGTGCATCTCTGTGAGTTATATGCCAAGGCTATACAGAGAAACCCTGCCTCAAACAAATAATCAAATAAACAAACAAACAAACAAAAAACAGTCCCCCCCCCCAAAAAAAAAAACCATTACCAGTGCTAATCTCAGTCTAGTCAGAGAGTCAAAAAAGGTTGCTAGATGGAAGAGAGCTAAGAAATACAGGAAGGACACGTACTTTAATTTTAGATCTGTCTGGCCAGCACGAATGGCCAGAAGGTGTCACTGCTAAGCCATCTGACAGGGTTAGCGTCCACAAACCTCTAGAATCTGTTCATTAGAGGCCTGATGGCCATGACCACTGCTGAGAAAGGGCCTCGTGGGGCCTCGGGAACAAGCCCCAAGGCCAGCCAGTGTCTCTCCTGCTGCTCTCGGTCATTACCTGATAAACAGAAGGCTGATGGCAACCTGAAAGGCACCATGGTGACCTAGGCCTGCCATCCTTTGGGAAGCTGAGACAGGAGGAGCATGAGCTTGAGGCTAGGCTAATATACTAAACTCCAGGTGAGCTCGGGCTACAAAGTGGGACCATTTCTCACCTTTCTCCTCAGGTCATCTCAAAGTTGACCAAATCTCTGCGTAAAGAGAGGAGTGAGACATGCAGTGTTTTGTTTTCAAAATTTCTGCAATTCAAACTAAGTTTTTTTTTTTTTAATATGGTATACACACATGCCTCTAACTGTCTCACACAAGGTATCACTATATTGTCTCTGCCATACTTGCAAAGCTACATATAAAATCAAAGAAGAGGTCCTTCTTATAAAGGAGTGGTTCCCAACCTATGAGTCACGACCCCTTGGGAATCAAATGACCCTCTCACAGAGGTCAGCTAAGACCATCAGAAAAAAGACACTTACGTTATGATCCAAAACAGTAGCAAAATCACAGTTATGAAGAAGCAACAGAAACACTTTATGGCTGGGGTCACCACACCATGAGGAACTGCATTAAAGTGTCGCAGCCTCAGGAAGGTTGACAGCTGCTGTCATAGAGGCTTCCCCAAGGCAACCTCTGGCCGTCCTATGACTAATGCTTGCCTGTAAAACACAGGTTAGGGCATTGCTGACTTGGAAGTAGAAAAAAGTGGCCCAAGCCAGTCAGGAGCGAGTGTGATAGGCAGGGCCAACCTTGAAATACTGTTCTTGAGGCCAGCTTCTCCAGCCGCCCACTGCCCTGCTCATCTGTCTCACAGGCACATAGCACACAGCACAACACAACACAACACTCAGGACTTCAGTGCCTTCTCCTTCCCACATGCAGCTAAGCTTGAGCCCCCGTTTCTAAGAAGGGTGGGAAAGCAGGTGAGAAGGAACTAGGCCCATTATTTCTTGAGGACAAACAAAGAGTCTGACATCCCATTGGTGACAATGCCCGCTTCTAAAGAATTTCCTTTCTGGGCTAGAGAGATGGCTCAGAGGTTAAGAGCACTGTCCGCTCTCCCAGAGGTGCCGAGTTCAATGTCCAGCAACCACATGGTGGCTCACAACCATCTATAATGAGATCTGGTGCTCTCTTCTGGCCTCCAGGCACACATGCAAGCAAAATATTATATACATAATACATAAATAAATCTCAAAGAAATATCCCTATCTAAACCTAACACCATCAGAGGGGCTAAGGTTCAAGATGAAAGTGCTACCCTCAAATATATATTTATATACTTTTGGTGAAATGAGTCCTCTAAGCGAAAAGTCCTGACTGAAGTGGCACGCCACCTTGCCCTTGTATGTGATTTTTTTTTTTCATTTGGATCCCAGTACATCTGTCACCAGAAAGAGGCTGACTGAGGAGGAAATCTGTGCCATCCACGTTGTAACTGGAGACAGCGCTCTGTGAAAAAGTAGCCTGCACACTGCTGGCCTTCCTGATCACCACAGACTGGAGGAGTCCTTGAAGCCAGGGAACACAGGACTCTGGATCTGAATAGGATTAATTTTAGGGCAAACTTTCTGGACCACACTCACGGAGGGCGGTCCTGGTCCCAAATGGAGCGAACTCCAGCTTCTTCTAGAAAGCGGGCAGGATTCGGTTTCTACTCTCCATCATACCAAGCAATTTTTAAAAGGGTAACTCGTCAAACTATCGACAACCTAGATAAATACGAGACCAAGTGCCCATGGGTTACAAAGCACGGCTCAAGACAAGGCTTTCTGTCATTCTCGGGGTATCTAGCGAGTGTCACCACACACGTTTCAAAGGAGAGGAGCCAAGGCTCAGAGAAACGAAGTCATCTGCTCAAGATGACACCTGATTGGTGAGGCAGAACGTGGCTCTGACACCTGTGTCCTGGGCATCAGTGAGAACACTGGCTACCGAGCCACAGTGGCCCCTGAAAGCGCCAGGCCCAGCTCTGTGCCTATATTTCCACCTTGAATGATTAGCAGGCATCAGACAAATCTCTGGGGATAAAAACATTTCTTCTAGCTTCCTCTATCTGGAAGAGGGAGGAAGGGGACCTCTGTGACAGCTTCCGCTTTCTTTCCCTGTGGATGGGATTTTGGGTAGACCAGCACACGCCAGGAGATACACGCAAGGGAACACTGTATTCATCCCTGCTGTGGGCCAAATAGCAAGAACTGGTGACCCCCAATGTAGAAGCGTCACACCCAGAGCAGAGCCCACCGGCATGGCATGCCCCGCGCCTGCCTGTCTCAGGAAGGCATCTAGAACTGCAGGGGACCCCGTCGCTACCTCGGCAGGAGTGATCCATCTTGTTGAACTGAAAGTAGCCGGACTTGCACTGGCACAGTGCGACGCCATCCAGGTCGGTACAGATGGAGGTCTCCCTGTCGCATTCTGGACTCTTCCGCTTGCACAGGCTGCCCGCTGGGATGTGAAAACAAGACAGTGAGACCGAACCAAACCTCCCCTTCCCACCTGACAACGCGTGAACTTGTTCTTTCAAGTGGCTCGGGAGAGAGTTTCCCAGAGTCTCCTCAGAGCCACATTCCTCTCACAGGCCCTGTCCAGCCTCTGCCGAGCACTCTCTGGTCACTAAATATTCACAAGTGTTCCCTATGGAGAAACCAACCTGAAGAGGGAAAGGCCTGGCCTGCAAGTGCAGCCTCGGTGTACTTCACGTTAAAGGCCTGCATGCAAGGGCAGGTAGGGGAGCTGGGACAAACCCAGAAAAGGTGACTATCTTCTTATGGGGCAGAGAGCTTGGACGGAAACCAACCAGTGCCGGCCAGACCAGTCTCAAGGGGAAGCGTGTCCGGACGCTCTGTGACCGAGGGGCCCAGGATCACTCCTTATGGTAGGGCAGCTTGCTTTGCTGCCTTTTGGGGGTTTACTACAGGTCGAGGTTTGACCGGTAATCTGATTCTCCAGGGCTGGCAGGAAGCTATCTGTCTATCTGTCTTCCCACTACAGTGGTGGGAGGGTTTGCTCAGCACTGGGTCTTCAGCACAGAAATCTGTGGGTGAGCATGGGGTAGGATGAGGAGAGGATCACCAGGAGGAACAGAGGCTTCAAGGAAGAAGCCCAGTCTGAGGCTGTGTCCATGTTCATGGGGGTGGGGCGCTTTATTCACCTCATGGCTGATGAAGAATCAGTTCATTAGTGTCAAAAAGTATCTACTGCCAGGCACAGTGGGAGGGTTTACACAGCAAACACAACGAGGGGAACATTTTTCACCACCCAAGACAGGCGAAGGTGCGAATGTAAACGGGTGCACAGAAAGAACGGAATCATGAGACCAACTTGATGGAAACAATTATCTACACATGTCCAAGGCAGAGTTAAGACAGATGTGTGCCAGGCTGTTAAGACAGGCTGGTGGGGGTGAATAGCAATCAGCGGGAGAAGAGGGCTGCAACGAGGTGGGAAATAAATGCATTGCGCAGTGAAGAGTGGGCATCGGTCTCCCTTCTGTCTCAAAGAAAGGACCCCAAGCTCTTAAGATGGTTCCGGCCAATACTGCAAAACTAACCCCTGCCCAGGCAAGTTCTGGTGAGGGGAGCAGACGCCAGGCTGGACGGCCCACGCTGCGCGGAATTCCCAGCATCCTCCCCTTTCCAGGGTCCTGAGAACCAAGGCCGGCAGACCTCCTGCCCCCAGCGGGGCGAGTCGGGACACGGCTTCAGTTCTCGGCGCTGAATTTCCTGCCTTTATCAGTGGCAGCTGACGTGTTAAGTCGGAGTTCCTTTGTTTGTTGTAAAAAGTTTGTATTTAAAGGGGGAACTTTTTAAATGGAAAAAAAAAAATCTCACCAGGCAAACTCTGCAGAGCTGGCACCAGGGAGGAACCCAGTCTCCACGGCATCTCATCTGGCTCCTTTGAAGGCTTTGCCAGCCAACCAGACGTAGCAGAGAACACCTTCAGGACAAAGAGTCTCCCAGGCTATCCCAGCCTGGGAAGTGCCCTGCCTGGGGAGGTATTTTTCTGGAGACCAATGTTCAGTTTTCTTTCCACCCTGTCTACTGATCTGGGCTGCTGGCAAATATTCATCGCCATGCCAAAGCAACCATTTCCTGCCCACCATGAGATTTCTGTTGAATAGGGAGGACAGATCTTGTCCCTGAAACGAGGAGCCGCTTTCCTCAGCCATCTCAAGGAACATTTTTTCCAAAAAAGCCACCAACAGGACCATGCAGAGTTTCAGCTAGGTCGATCGCTGGTGGTGTGAGTCTTCTGTGGTCACCATTCCCATGGCCTTTCCTGGGCATAACATCCGTCAAAATAGACAGTGAGCAGTCACGTGAGCCTAAGGTTGAGGCAATTGACGGGGGATTTCTGTGGCCTCTTAACTAAACCCTCAGAAGACCACGAAAACGGACGTGCTTTGATAGGGGAGAGGTGGACATGCTGTGAACTGAGGAGAGAAAGAAAACCCTCTTTGCCCGTGGCAATATCCAGAGCAGCCCATATGCCAGAAACCCAGATGTGTGGTACCTGCTGGTCTAGCTACCTTTCTAGCGCCAGAAAAATTACCAAGAGACAGAACTGGATCTCTTGGCAAAACCCAGAGAAGGTCTGGAGGAAAAACCGGGACACAAGCCTAGTTTGGGCTAACAGGCATGGCTGTCTTTAGGCTCAAGGGGTTGGAAGGGAGCACCTGGAAGGCTGCACGGTGACGGGAGTCTTCCTATAAACCACACGGGGGCAGTCCAAGCAAGGCAGCTGGGTGAGCAGGCACTCTGGCAAATCCATAAAACCTAGCCAATTTGATCCGCAAAGCACAGATGCCTGCGCTGGCAGCAGAAAAAGTACCCTGGCTCTGTGCTGACCACACAAAGTGCAGTCCAGAAACGGTTAGCAAACTGAAGGGGACCTACCTCACTGGGAGAGAAAAAACAAAACAAAACAAAAAAACAACATGGTACCCTTGAGTCCTTGGCAAGAGAAACAAAACCATAAAGCCAGAGACCCTTCAAGTTTCCAGCATGAAACTAAAACAGGACATCGAACTGTGAAACGAGAACCTCCAACTCTACTATGTTTGGTTCTTCTCTCCTCTCAACCCCCCCAGTTGCTAAGTAGCCAACCCCTTAGAGTCTGCCTCAAAGTGGAAGGGTAAGTGCCAGCCCCAAGCTCTGCAGTGCGCTCGCTCATGCGAGGAAAGCTCCGGACCAGCAGTTACAGGATCCTGACCCACTGGGAATGTCCTAGACTATCCGGCGGATACCGCACCAAAACCCGATTCCTTCAATTTATGTCTAACATCTGGATGCCAGATGGGGAGGCTTAGCCTGAGGTCTCCTTCCTTTGCCAGCCCTCACCCAGTGGTGTAAAGAGCTAACCGGAGTCCACTTTGATCACTTATAATTCACCAAGAGGGACTAGCCCTCTTTGCCTAGAGGCGCTTCAGATTCCAGCAAGTTTTCCTCTCCCAGCTGTAAAACCGTCCCCACAAGATGCAACTGTGCCTTCCAGACTTGTCCTTCATCACCTTCCTCTTTGGCCTTACCCCAACACAAGGGCAAGAGCCTCTGACAACCAAAGACGGGAGCCCCTCATCACTCCGGCACTCCTGCGAGCATCCTGCCTTGCACTCTTTTGATCGCTGTATGTTTTTATGATAGAAAACAAACAAGAGACAGGCCAATGTCTCTAGGGTCTTTGTTTCTACTTAGCAACCACCATATGAAGGCTGTTGGACCACTGACAAGTCTACACATTCTGTATGTCACTTTCTGTCTCCCCAGGAAACAGGAGCTGTATCTTTTGGTGCCATCAGCCCCTTTCACCCTGTGCTGTATAGAAGAAGCGGAAGGAGCCAGATGCCAAGGAGCAGACACTCTAAAGGCCCATGTGCAGACCAAATTGTGTGTCTCTGAGTGTTGTGAAGGCCTGTGCTTATCCATTCTCAAAACAGGCTCTGGGAAGGAGCCTGAGCCCCAAACGCCTCCCATTGTTAAGGCTGCCAAGGGCAGGCTTCTCCCAGAGGACTCCCTCCTTACCTCTGAAGATCCGTCTCTGAGACCCCAAGAGCTGGCACACTTCAGCAGAGGACCTGCAGGAGTTGACATATTTCTGGATCCCGTCAGCCAGGTCAAAGAGTGTCACATTGGAGGCCAGGGCAAAAGTGGTTTGCAGGGAGATGACCGCTGTACTGGGCTCTCTGTGGGCGAAGTCAGCAAGGCTTTAACTGACCGAAAATGACACGTGGGCCCCGGGGCAGTTTGCAAAGTAAATGTTACTGCCATTCTCCCGGTGAAGAACAGGCGAGCGCAAAGGTACAGTGACCCTGGCGTTGAGTTATCCAGTGTAAAACAGAGATTGGCCTTATTTTGATCACACGGGAGAACAACCTCCCTCCCCCATTCCATAGACAGGTTCATAAGCAAAAGAAACTCCTGTTTCCTACCTGGACACATGGACTGTAGAGCGGATGTAACCAGGCAGTGTTGAAAAACACACGTTTAACTGAAATGAAGAACAGGACTGTCAAACAAAATCCTTGAGTCAAGAAGCTGTTTCCTATTTCCAGGATAAAATGGGTAGTCTCTAGCCATCAGGTTATCAGCAGGCAGCTCTACCCGAAGCAGTGTGGCTTTTGTGTCCCTCCAGCTCCAGCCCTCCTGAATATCTTTCTGTTGTTTCCCAAGAACAAAGGCAGCAGGGCAGATAGGGGATACGTGGGGAAATGTGCAGAGCAGCACCCTTGGAAACAAAACATCTTCAAAGGAGAAGATCCCTTCGAAGGCCCAGGGTTTCAAAAAAAAAAAACCAAACCCACAAAACCCAAGCAACATTTTTTTTTTTTTTTTTGGACTCTGCATAGGGAACAAACTCTCTGAAAAGGCTCAGCTCCTCAGGTCTGACGGGCCCCACAGGCTCCTTCTCATCTGCAATGAGTTGACCTAACTCAACCACAGGTCTTCCTCAGAAAGACTCTCTGTGGGAAATTACATGACGAGGGTCAAGAGCTCTTTTGTTGGGAACAAATTAAGAGCTTCGTGTGCCGTGTTTGCCTTGTGCTCCAGAGAGAGCAGAAAGCCTCTCAGAACACAGCGTGTGTGCCTCCTCCTTAACAGCATGGCTGGAGGCGATTTTATGGAGCAGAGGGCCTGAGTACCTTGTCCCCAGGCAGACCCACCTGTCTGCAAAGTCAGCGGCTCAGAGCCCTCTAACCGGGAAGATGGAGTCAAGCATGTAATGTTACCAAGTGGTTTGTGGGTCTGAACGTCACGTTATTTTAAGTTCGAGTAGCAATGATTATTATTGCTTTATTATTGACCTTTTACCCAGGTATGACAAGAATCCCATCTTGGGAAAACCCATGCCAGTGGCTTCCCCGATGGCACTTTAATTCTTCACTGTTAGTTGGGGTCAAGTGTGTTATGGCCCAGTGTAACATGAAGGACTGCGATTTGGCACAGTGCCCTCACAGCCTACACTACGTTAGAAGAAAATATCTATCTACAGAATAACCAGCGGGAGAAGTGAATCTACTTTTGGCTAGAGAGGTCATGCCTCTACCCTTGCAAGGCAGTTTCTAAGCTATTACTCAAGAGCCCTGCTTAACAATAACAATTTTGTTGAGCTGGGAGTCCCGGGCCGTGCTCGGGTACCTGGCGTAGCTCCTGTCACTACCATATGATCAGTAGTGTGGACACTAGAGGGACCTCTGGGTTACACAACATCAGCTCAGCCTCTAGAGGGTTGAGGGACTGCAGTCAGCCAAATGGGTAGGCAACCGTGTCTCTATGACAGAAGTCCAAAAAATGCTTCAGACACGGAGGCTCAGGAAAGCCCACGGTTGGCAGTCCTCCGTTAAGTCACACACTGTCGCCAAGAGGAACCAAGGACATCAGTAGCACCACAGGGACAGAACAACTAAAAGTTCTGCGTTTGGGACCTCTCCTCCCACCCTTCCCGACTCTGTCTCATGCAGCCCTTCCCTTAGCTAATTTTAACTTAAAACCTTTCAGCGCAAAGAACCGTATCTGTGAAGCTAATGGCCTCCAAGAAGTTCTGTGGGTCCTCTTAGTGAAGTGAAAGTGAAATGTAGAGTGCCCTTAGAGACCCCAGACTTTCAGTTAGTTAGTGGACTGCTTCAACTCCGTTTCCACTTCTCTCGGACTCAGACAACGCCATCGGCTTCCAAGAGTCCCAGTTCTCCAGTGTGTCACCTACCCTCTTACAGGACTGAACATCTGGTACAGTCCCTGTCACAGATTAAACGCTCAACAGACAGAAATGCAATTAAAATACAAATAAAGCCCACAGTCCTAAAAGAACACTTAATTCCTGGCTAATGTAGGAACTTTAATTCAATGTAATGGCAAATCTAATTTAATTTCATCTCTAATTTAGTATAATGGCAAATTTCAGTTCCCAAACACCAAATCTTTGTCTTGGGCGGCAGCTGAGGACAAAATGTATTGTGTGGGTTTCATTCTCATTTCCTTTTCTCCTTCTCTCTTTCCTGATAGAAAAGCAAAGAGGGGCACAGCAGCATGGCAAGGCCCCCAGATAATTTACATTAGGAGCTCCCAAGCCCAGCTAACAGGAATGAGTTATCAGGCCACTGGCGTTCTTTGAGGAGACAGTGGCCTTCCTCCAAGCTCCAAGGAAAACAAGGAGAGGGTCACATCAGGTGTCAACAGCAGATGGAACACAAGGCTCTCTGCATCTTTCCTCTTCATCTGCAGCCTGCCCTGGTGCAGGCCATCACCACGCCTGTCGACTCTGTGTTTGCACATGAAAAAGCCTAGCAGGTAGGGACTGCACATGAAGACGAACCTGAAGCAGCATTCTTCCCGGACACCACCAGATCCCAATACCTTTCTTCTACTTCCAAGACACTTATTTCACCTTGAACTTTCCCTCTAAACACAATAGCGAGTCTGGGCGATGCAGACGGCCCTGAGTGGTGTCCAGTTCTGAATGAGATCTAGTCTAGAAGACAAAGGATTCGAGTGAAGGGTCCTTTCGGGGAACTTACTGTTTGAGCCATCTCGTTTTCCACCTCATGGACGTTGGAATGGCCTTCCACAGTGGCATTGAGAAAGGTCTTCTTTAACTTCAGCTCAGTTACGAAGGTTCTAACTGAAGAGGAAAATGTTGCCATTAAGCCACACAACAGAGACCACGGAAAGCTATGTGTTCCTAAACCTCTGTAGTGGCCAGCTTTATTCTCCCACAGGACAATCTGTGTGTGTCTTCTTGAGGGTAAAGACTCTACTTATGCTTCTAAAAGGTGACTAAGGAGTAACAGAGGAGCAGGACAAACATTTGTATTAGGTTTAGACTCCGAGGTACTAGGAGCCACAAAAGGTCATCAGCCACAAAATGAAAACAATCCATGCTAGAAACGCTGCTAGGTCCAGAAAGTGAAAGCACCCCTAATTTTAAGGCCCCACTTCACTCAAAATAAAATTTTAGGAAACACCAGTTTGTGCTGACTGGGCCTGATGTTCTGGACTGGGATTTGAAAATGGGCAGACAACCAAAACTTAGTATAGTCCATATTTTAGAGCTGCCTCTTCCCATTCATTATATTAAATTCATCTCTTTCCCCTGAACAGACAGAAAATAAGATGTGGAGGCCAGTGAGGCTTTTCTATCATGAAAGCTTACATGCTGAGTTAAGGGGAAGGCCGTCAAGCGAGCCAGGGAAAACATCTAACATCTTAGAGTTAACTGTCTGAAGTCCCTGGTCCTTATTTAACATCCTTTGCTTGTTCCACAGTTCAGTGACGCCAGCTGCTCTGGACTCTTTCTGAACAGCAGGCAGCTCTTTGAAAACACTCTCGGCCAAGCGAAAGCATTTCAGCATGCTCTAATTTGCATGTTTCTCCGGTGTTTACAGACAATGAAGCCAAATGACTTGAAAAGGAAACGCTAGCCCAACTGAACTGCTCTGCTCCCATCTGGGCTACCTGTGGGATACTCTGTATACAAGTCACCTGACCCGGTCGCCTCACTTCTCACAGGCCTGGGTTCAAATCCAGACTCTGCACACAGAAATGTGCAGTTAAAGGGCTAGGCACACAGTCGTTTTTCTGAATGTGCCTTTGGTTTTTAGCATGAGTAATATTGTCCATCCTCTCCCCGAACCCTGTCTCTTTCCTGGAAAGGATTTGTATCTCTGTAGACATGAGCCTGTGCCAGCTTTAAGTTACTGCTTATTGTAAAAACAGCAACTTTCAGCCTATGCTTTGCCCTGGGTGACTCCATTTTACGAGCACCATTTGGCTCTATTTCACATTGAGGACAGAGACATTCCTTCCTGTCCAATACCACCCATGGGGCACAGACTGATAAATATCTCCTTGCAAGAAGGTATCAAATTAGATTGTGTCTGTGTGAGTACAGGGGCTTACTAAAATTCTCATTGGAGAGGGAGGCTCTAAGAGCTTACACCAAGAAACACCAAGGCAGGGTGCGACATCTGCTCCTGCACCCCACAAAGAGGAAGACGCCCGACACTCTTACAGCAGGGTCTGTGTAACTGCAGGGCTTCGCTCTCCACCGCTGACATGGCCTCCTCCATCCCTTTGTCCACCTGGACCCAGTTTTGCATAAGGCCTCACCGTGCGGCCTGTGCTTCGCCTCCCCAGTCTGCTCCTCCATAGCTTCTCTCGCCATCATGGTCCCAGCTCGAGCCTGTAGCCCCATAGCGGCTCAGGGTGCTCCTTCGCACCTCTCCAACCCATCTGACCGCTAAAGTGGTCCTCTTCTCACGTGTCAGCTCTGTCTCTTTAACCTTCTTGAACTTCTCTGTGGCCTCTTTAACCCTTTGGCAGCCACTGTCTCACACACACACACAGCCAGGTCTAACATATGATCTGAGTTACTATCAGAAATTAAATGTGGAATAAAAGAACCCGTGTTTGCCAGTGACCAGCTATCAAGGGAAATCAGGATAAATGATAGCAAATGAAATCGAAGTAGCTCGTGAACTTACTGTCTTTCCGTGATGTCAATAAAATCTGACATCACGGAAAGACACGGATGTGTCTGTGTTTCTAATACAGTTAGCACATCCAAGACAACTTCTGTGGCTGCAGCTACACCATTTACCTTTAAGGCAGGTATTTTTTAAAAAAGAATTACATTTCTTTGCTTTGTGTGGGCTTTGCACATGTGTGCGTCTGCACGTGTGTGTTCTTGGGCCAAGCTCCCCATGCGAAATTCAGACAACAGCTCGTGGGAACTGGTTTCCTCTTTCTATTGCGTGGGTCCCAAGCATCAAATTCAGGTGGTCAGACGGCCTGAAGCGCCTTTACCTGCTGAGTCACCTAATTGGCCCCAAGACTGATCTTTATCTCAGTTTAGCTGCTGATTTCACTATTGACCTGTCCCAACTGCTCCGTGTTGAGGGTGGTTTGTTTTCCTAGCATCCAGTCTGGCGAGCGCTGCCTCCCATCTGGAGGGCTCTTGACCACACTCAGAGCTTGCTCAAACAGAGAGGTCATTTTATACGACCTTCCCAAGACCCTGAGTGAGAAGCGGAGCACACTGTAATCTGATTTCACAGATGAGGAGACCGAGGCGCTGCAGGTGGTTGGCTGAGTGCCTAAAGCCAGGCACTTGAAACCTGGCAAGGGGCCTTTCCACCGGCTTCAAAATACAAACCGCAACGACAGAACAGCCCCTTCACTGTTCAACTGCTCGCTCTCAGCTAGTTCCCTGCAGGTTGTGGCTACATGAAACGGGTCAGCCAGATGCGTATCACTTATTAGAGTTAGAAGATTTCTTGTTTCCGACTTAGGTCTACATATGTAGATTTTTCTTTTTTTTAAAAAATAATGCTCAGTTCTAGCATTCCAAAATTCTTATTTTAAAAGAGGGTCAGCCTCAAGAAGCCCCTTCCAACTATGGATAATAGGGGTTCGCACAGATGGCACTGCAGATGACAATGACATCCATTCTCCCCAAAATATGGACCGATCAATTGTGTATGAGGCCACATGTTGGGCAACTGAAGCTGATTCAAAGGCGAATTATTTTACCTGACAGCTGCAGCTTTGAAACTGTATTTCTCCAGCAAGCAAGGGGTTAAGTTCAGCAACCTAACAGGGTCATGTCCTGCCTGCAAGAACCCTCTTACACTAAATACACTGTTGTGTAATAGAAAGAACTGTGGGCTGGAAATCAGGCCTCTTTCAGGCCGTGACCCACGCTTGGCCATTGAACATCTCAGGGCCTTAGTAGAAATGCCTTGCTGCCTTTCTCTGCTTTTTAACCTGTGAGATAAAGGGTCAATGTAAAATCAACAAGCTTCACGGACCTGTTCAACGAGGAACAAAGTATGACCAATGTCGTGGCCAGATTCCAGGCAGCAGCTTCCTCAAAATGTATCTGTCTGTGGCTAACAACTTGAGGACCTCTCTTAAAAACAAGAAGAATGTATGCACACCGAGGGAAATCAGAATTTTATTCTTTTCTCACTCGAAAAAAAAAAAAGCCCAACTAACGAACCAACCAAACAACCCTATTTGGTAGTCAGAATATCTTTTTGATTTCTTTTTCTTAACTGCAGGGCAGAATGGTTAGGCAAATAACATTATGCACAAATGAGCATATTATGGGCATGAAGACATTTGTGCTTCTCGGTAACACAGGGATACTCTTATAGATATGTCTGGAATTCAGCGTGTAAAAATGTAATGTGCATCCACAGATTGTGAAGAAAAACACTGCATCTCCAAGTGTTGGGATAACAGGCAAGGTGTTTCCTTCCCTCAAGATTCCTGAGCTTTTTAGCTTGGAAAAAATGCCGGCTTTGCTTAGGAGGGAAACAGCCCATAAATCCCGAGGCAGACTTAGCTCTCTTACCCAGATTGCATATTCCTTTCTCCAGCTGATAGCCGACTGGACATCTGCAGGTGAAGGATCCCTGAGTGTTGTTGCACGTGGCTAGGGGAGGGCAGGGGCTCGACAGGCATTCGTTCACGTCTGCAGGGGAGGAAAACGAGAGCACGTCCACGGGGCAGCAAAGGATCGTGGTGCTGGTGCGTACACACTGAGCGGCACCCTGTGGAGCGTGATACAAGAGAAGGACGGGGAAACCAGCCTCGTCCTCCAGGGGACGCCGCCCATGTGTCAGGGCAGGGCAGCCACATAAAGAATTAACCAGAACACAAGGCGGGATTTGGATGTTCAAAGAGATGCATAGATCTAGTTCTGTTTGGGTGTTGTTGTTTTGAGAAAGCGTCTCCTCCTTTCACCTGGCCCGGAACTCACCCTGTAGACCAGGCTGGTCTTGAACTCTGGCTCCCCAGGGTGCTGGGATTAAGGACATGTTCAGCAGAAGCAGCAGATTTTTGATACAGGGGAGAATTAAAGGCTGTTTTCGATTACATTTAAATAATAAAGATGACAAAAGGAACGTCAACAAGCAGATCGTTTTGGGAGCAGGGTATGATGCTGAGCTGAGGGACCAGCAGAGTAAACTCCCGGGGCGCGGGAGTGTAGGTGTCTTTAGGGAGCTGTGGCTGGGCCAGTGTTGCAAGGGTGCAGAGAATCAGCGGGGGAGACTCAGGCCAGGAGCTCGACTGTGTCATGCTGTGATCCTTCATATTATCATACAGACAACACCTAGGCATGCAACACTCAAGCAAGAAGACGGTTAAACTAAAAACCTTACCCCTGTGCACTCTAGAAGAAAAAGGCTCTTTAAAAAAAGGACGATCATTTTAAATTATGTGTATGTATGTGTACACTTCAGTGCGGGAGCCTGCAGAGGCTGGAGGTATCCAGTTCCTTTGGAGCTAAAATTATAGGCCGTCACGAACTGCCCGCTATGGGTTACGGTACCCAAGCTTGAATAGCCCACTAGCCCAAGGTAACACCACAGGAAACTATTCTGCCTCTCTTACCCACACTGCAGTTGTCCCCTTGCCAGGCGGGCGGGCACATACATCGATACCCATGACCGGTGAGGTCCACGACGCATTCGCCACCATGAAGACAAGGATTCACGGTACAGCTGTTGACTAAGCACATCACAGGGACAACAGGGACAACGTCAGGGCAGCTCCGCCAAACATCTCCTCCTCGCTTAGGTCTGTCTACTCGCGCTGAGGAAAATCACACCACTCAAACAGAACAGGGTCCCAAGAGGTGCGAAGACAGAGGCGATGAGACTGGACGCTGCCGGTACGAGTTTGCGTTCGTGTTCAAGTGTCAGATCGTGGCTCCCTGGATGCAAGCGTGCATGTTAAATGCTCCTTGCAGGCCACGCGGCTCAGGACTGATAATGAGACCACCTCTGCGATACTTGGAAAAGTCTACTAGACTCAGTAAATGCCACCTTGAAACACGCTTGGGTGGAAAGAATCCGTGGTCCAATTTCTCCTGTCTGCTCCGAGATTCACAAATGTACACAAATGCATGGCTTACTTTTTTCTCTCGGACGTTGTCAAAGCTATAGAAAGCTTTATCTGAAAACCTCGAAACACATAAGCTTACTTGCAGTTGCTTATGCTTTCTCTGTTCTGTTTTATTTTGAGATGGGCCTCATGAAGCCCAGGCTGGCCTCCAGTTAACTACATAGTTCAGGATGGCCTTGAACCCCTGATCCACTTAACTCTACCTCCCAAGCGCTGGTATTATACACACACGCGATACCACGTTCAGCTTCCAAATGTCCTGAAATTTAATCGGGCCTCCACAGACTGTGTGCCATCTAGAAAATTATCAGTTAAACGCTGCCACGCCTTCTCATGATGGAGTTCAGCCTGGTCTCAAACTCCTAGGTAGCCTGGAATGACAGCGAACTTCTGATTCTCCTGTCTTCACTTCCCAAGCGCTAGGATTACAGGGATCACGTGTGCAGCTCCTTCTCTCCATATACAAAGACAGGCCCCATACGAATTCACGAGGGCCCCTGTGGCTCAACTTTAATGTCACCTTGGAATCTTATTCATTCCCTGCCCCACGATGCCCACATTTGCTCTCTGTGATTAGAAGGGTCACACTCCAGTTAGGAAATACTTGTTTCATAAGGGGTTTTGAAAAGCCAAAACCTACAAAACCACATTATCATTTGCAGGGAGGAAATCACTCAGGAACAAGGGAAAGGGAACCTCAAAATAGCCTGAAACAAACGGGCTGCTCTAGACATGGCAACCTTATTCTTCGCGGCCGTGGCTGAGATTCATTATTTTGAAATTATGTGTATGTGGGGGGGGAGGGTAAAAAAGAGCACATGGGCACACTGTTTATGGAGGTGCTGCATCCCCTGAAGTTGGAGTTACAAATAGTTATGAGTTGCTCCATGTGGGTGCTGGGACCCAAACTCAAGGACCACTACGAGAACAGGATGTACTCTAAGCAAACACCGAGCCATCTCTCCGACCCCATGCTTTAAATGTTACTACCTAGCTTCCTACATGAGCGGAGCACCTATTTCATTAAACCCCGTGCCCGTTATCTAATTCTATAGCTTTTAGTGACTGCGCTGCAAACACTCACCTAACACTTGCTCTAAGGGAGGCTGGTGAACCTGGCAACTGAATGAAATGGCCAGTGGAAGTGATTTTTTTTCTGGAGCAGCAGTTATCTTTTACTTCTTAGACATACTTAGATGGTGGAGAAAGGGTTGCTGTAGCCTGGCAGTGGGGATGGCTCATGACCCCGCCCACCAGGTTCGTCTTCACTGACTGACTGAAACGGTACCACTGACTGAGCTCTCTGCCACCACTCGACGTCTCTCTCCTTCCCCTGGACAACTTAAGCTGCCAGTCTTGCCTTCTCCAACAGCAGTTCTGCATCGACGACAAGTGAACCTCTAACTCCACACCCTCCTGTATCCTGCTTCTGTCTTCCTCTGCCCTGTGTTGGCTCTCTTTTCCTTACCCCAGCACCTTCCACATGCTGTCCAGACAACCTTATGTACCAGGCAAAGCAGCTCTGGTCACGCAGTCACTGTGAACAGGTCTGTTGGACTTCCTTTTGTTTACGTGTTCTATGGCTGCCAACTAGCAATCAGGGAGAGAGAGAGAACTCTGAGCCTCACTCGACGGACAGAAGCCTTTGACCCCCAGAAGGCCCTGAGCTGACTGACTCTCTTCTAGAGGACAGGCATTCAACTCACCCCTACATCTAACAGATCACCCTAGAGCTTTTTTGTCTTTGGTGGTGCTAGAGGGCTTTCGGGAGGCCGAGTATGGTAGGCAAGAATTCTACTGCCATTCTATATCCTAGCCTAGCAAAAGTCGCTCTTTCAGTTTCTCCACTGTCCAAACCCACGCCCTCAGATAAGTTACAGGCATGCTTGAAGAGCTTAGACAATTTCACGGCATTTCTACTATGCATGTCCTCTGTCCTCTTCAGAAAGAATCATATAATCTAAGGGGTTATTAGGAAAATATTAGGCCTCTATTGCCCATATTTCATGCTTTGTATTTCAAGGGATTCATTCTAGTTCATAAAGCAAGACACTGTCTCAAACACTAGCCATGTCTGCACATTCACACAAACCCCCAAGCCCCTTGCAGCTCTAGTGCCGGACAGGGCCTGATGGTCAAGGCGTGTGTTTTTTAAGACGCGCTTCACCTGAGGTTGGAGGCGACAATGCTGTCGGTGACGGTGGGGTGCTCTGGGCAGCAAAGGTGGTATATGTGGAAGTCAACACTGCAGCCGTAGAGCCATCTGTGGTTTGAGGTGAAGACGTTCTGAGAGAATGTGACACTGGGCTGGACTCCTCTGCATGGTCAAGCCTTGTGGTCACTTCCTCTGCTGAGATGGCTGTGGTGGTCAGAAGGACTGAGTGAGTGGTTCGAGCCACAGGCACTTGGCTCTGTTCTGTGGTGATGGCCCCTTCCGTTGAACCTAGAATTTCAGGATTGGTGGGCAAGAGCTGTTTCTCTGGAGTAGTGTGGACAGCGCCGGAGCCTGGGGTAAAAGCTTCCGTACTTGACAGGGTCCTGGGACTGGTGACAGGAGGCTGGGTAGTCTGAGGCATGCCAGCTGTCGAAGCTGGAGATGTCTGGACTAAGCTGGTGCTCGTGGCTGGCTCTGTGGAGAGCCCCATTAAGGCTGGGGACCACGGGGTTCCTGGAGGGAGGCTCGCTGTTACTGCTTTGGTAGAGTCTGTGGGCAGAGCCACCATGCTTGGGGACTTTGCCTCTGTGGTGGTTTCCTCTTGCTGTGGGGTGCCCTGGTTCTTAGGGTCCGCTGTTTGGTTAATGGGGAACAGCGTGATGGCCGGCGCCACTGTTGACATCTGCACTGAAGTCACCCGTGGCTCCCTGGCCCTGTGAGGGGCAAGGGCAGAGGATGGAAGTGGGAAGGTGGTCTGTGAGGCAGAGGGTGGGACAAGAGCCGACACCGTCAAGGAGATGGGTAATGGCGACGGTGAGGGTGGCAAAGGCGTAGTCAGGGCAGAGGTAGACTTCAGCTGCTGGGTGGGGGACCCAGCTGATGGTGAGGTTGGTGAGAACAGGTGGGGCTGTGACAGTGAGGGTAGAGGTGAAGGGGTCCCTGAATCAGACGGGTCCTCAGCAGGGTTGGTACTGGCATCAAGAACCAGTGTGTTTGGCATGCGAACGGTGAATGTGTAGGATGGAAGGCCAGATGTCTGCAGGACCAGCGGCTCGGTGGAAGACAGAGCAGGGTCGCCATCGTAGGAGGACGGCACGTTCGTTCTTTCAGCCTGAGCCTGAGAAGGGGAGGAGTCTAAGTGTGGAGAGTCTGAGATCCTGACGGAAGAGGTTGAGCTCTCGCTGGCCTCTGAGGAGGAAGAGTTATCCGTGATGGACAGTAACGCCCTTTCTCCCTTGGTGAAGGTAGGTGAAACATAGGCGTGGTCCGTGTGGTCGCCGGAAGTCCTCTGCTCAGCGTCTGAGCCACGCTCCTGACTGTAGCTGAGTCCAGTGACTACGAAAGAGAAAAGGCAAAGTTGGGGCAAGCAAACACAGACTCCCAAACAAGCACTGGAAAATACCCTCTGTGCCTTATCCTCTTTGAGAGGCAATTTCTCGTGGCCAGCCCTCTCAGTGAAGACAACAGCGGAGGGCTGAAACAGCCAGGGTCGGCTCGGAGTCCACACCTCCTGTGAGGAGTAGTGATGGTGGCAGAAATGGCAAATAGTGGAGAGGTGAGGACCAGGTGTCTAAAAATAGGATATGTTCCCAATGGCCCTCCTCACGCCCCCCTTTAATAAAGGCAATCTGCTGCTGAAAAGCTCCCCAGATCCCAAACAGTAATTGCCATTGTCAAATGGAAAAATGAAGACACTCCCAACTACCCACTCCATTTAATGAGGTTGTTTCTTCCTGGGAGATGGCCTTCACCACAGCTACTGTTCTCCTTAATTTTAAACCCCTCAGGCAGATATCACCCCATGTACCTCAAGCAAGCACGAAGGGCTGAGGGTGGGGGTGGGGGTGAAGTGGGGATGCTTCCAGAAAGTTCTTTCCCCAACGAGCTTGTGAGCTACTCTTTGGGTGGCCAGTCAACTTGACCATCCCAGGACTGAGAGTCAATCTACGAACGGGGAAGGCGACGGTGGGGAGACACACCTTCGAGGGTAGGTGCCCTAGACAGCAGGCCTGCATGTTCCGTCACGCTCTCATGCGGGGTGGGGCGCGCCGGGTGGGTCGCCGCGTTCGAGAAGCTGAGGGACCGCAGGGTACGCTCCCCGCTTCGGGGGAGCATCGCGGACGTGTGCACGTGCGGGGAGCGCCCTCCGGAAGTACTCTCCACCAGGTCCCAGCTGTCACGCAGCAACGCACTGTCTTCCGGAGCTGAGAGAGAGAGAGAGAGAGAGAGAGAGAGAGAGAGAGAGAGAAGGCAGGTGACTGACTGCAGGGACAGGACCGTTAGCCTCAGGTGCAAGCCCAGAGGCTTCTCTGAGGCTCTTTACCTGTGACCGGAGAGTTGACACCTCTGCTCAGGTGTCCTGAATTCACAGTAAGGATTGTTACTCCAGCCGAAGGACCCAGAATACTGGATTTCTGCTTGGTGATAAATATGTAACAGTTGGAGTTGTATCAGAGGAGTTGGTGGTGAGTTAAGGGCGGGGCCTCTGGAGTGTCAGTCATCATGGGTTAAAAAAAAAAAAATAACACAGAGAGTGGTGGCTCACTCGGGAGGCAGAGGCAGGAAGATCTCTTGAGTTCAGGGCCAGCCTGGTCTACAGAGTGAGTTCTAGGACAGCCAGGGCTACACAGAGAGACCCTGTCTTGAAACCACCCCTCCCCCCAAAATACCTAAAGGTTGGTGTTCTTTCAGTTTTTATATTTATGTATTTATGCGGGGGGGGGGGTGTGTGTGTGCACAAGCCACAGCAGGCGTGGGGAACTTGAGAGGATGACTCTGTCCAAGTCTGTTCTCTCCACCCACCCATCTGCATTCTGGGGATCAAGCTAAGATCATTAGGCTTGGCAGCAGGGGCCTCTACCTACTGGTCCATCTTGTCAGCCATGTCTTTATTTTTAATGCACGTGTTCTACTTTGTTGGACTAGGAGAGGTATGCCTTTCCTCTCCGCTGAGAGGGTAAGTGCTGTATGTTAAACTTAGAACTAGCTTATATTATTAGATTACCAAGTAAATCCTTTTTAGAAGTCCACACTCATGAAGATATGTGCACATATACGTAAATAAAATAAAATAAATCTTTAAAAAAAAAAAACCCTACTCTTTACTTGTCTTAATTTTTAAAGTTCTGGATGTGTATGAGTGTTCTGCCTACATGTATGTCTGTGTTACCATGTGTGTGCTGAGGCCTGCAGAGGCTAGAAGAGGCATCCGATTCCCTGGACTGGAGTTACAGTTCCAGGAGAACTGTAGCAGTTGTGAGACCATTTGGGTGCTGGAAAGAACCTAGATCCTCAAAAGAGCAGCAAGTGCTAAGGGTTCTCAGCCACTGAGCCACCTCTCCAGATCCTTTATTTTTATTTTTAAATTATGTGTGTATCTGAGTGTGGGGTTTGCAAATGTGAGTGCAGTATCCATGGTGGCCTCAAGAGGGCGTCAGAACACCCGGAACCTGAGTCATTTGATTGGGGTGATGGGAGAACTCATGTCCTCTGCAAGAGCGGTGTGCACTTAATACAGAGAGTCATCTCCGCAGCCCCATTAACAATTCCTAACATCACTGTCAGCGTTAATGATAAGTTTTGGGTTATACTGTAAGCACTCGTTTGTTTTTCTGTAAATAAGTAAAAACACTGACTCATTAGAAGCTGCCAAACTCTCTCTTGCTGCCCAAGCAGTCTTGAGCAAAAGGACTCTGAGTCTAACTGCCAAACTACCCTTGTGGCGGCAGCGGTCACCAGACACCTATACAAAGATCACAGCTGACTGCCCTGGCTCCTGAGCGCACAGTCCCAGGCAGGCCTGTCTGAGACTGGTCGGGTCAGATTTTCTGTAATCCCAACCCTGGACACATCATTTCCATTTCAGCTCAAAGAGGAGCACTTCCTCCCATTAGAGGAAGTGCCCGGACTGGTGCTAAAGGGTCAGGCTGTGATTGGTCCAAAGCATAGGTCAGTGAGTGGTGCTAAGAGCAAGGCTTTGGGTTCTCTAAAGCAAATGGCTGTGATTGGTCCCTTCTTGGGCTACGTAAGCAGGTGGCTAAGACACTCCGAATTCTTCTCCTGTGCTGCCTAACAGTAGACCCCAAAAGTCTTCTCTGGAGTGGTCTTTTCTTGCTCCTTTCAGAAGTACGTCAGCAAGAAGTAGCAAAGGCCACAGACAGTTGCATCTGGACAGCTGAAGATCTCAGGCACGATGCATCCGGCCACAGCACCCCACACTTCAACCCAAACACTCAGTGCCACCGGGCAATTACCACAGAGGCCCCATTGGCCTTGGAAAAGATCCCTGCAGCTTGCGCCTCATTCAGGTTCTCAAGCCCAAGACCCAGCTCCCTGGCGCACAGCTCAGCACCTCTCGCCAACTGCTGTTGTCATTTTTGAAAGAGTGGGAAGCCTTGGAACTCTTGGCAGTGCACGTGATGGGAGCAATGCTTAGCAGCAGGCTGCCCACTCATGCTCATCCCACCTGTCTGCTGGGATCCCCACCTGCCAGTCAGTGGGTGCAGAGGCCTGTGCCTGAGTAATCCTGGCAGCGCCTGGCACCCAGTGCCTACTGTGCCTCTGACTGCACCCAGGCTCCCTGGATACAGTCCAAAAAGAGATAGACACTCGGAGTGGCCAGAGCCAGAAAAAAGAGATGCAGACGCCGCAAAAGAGACTGAGAGACGTACAGTAGAGAGCCAAGGAAGAGACCCCAGAGGCCCTGCTCAGCAGATCACCAGAGTCAAGCCTTCAAGGTGAAGAGTCTCAGAGCCCAGGCTGAGAGCTGCTAGTTACAGTGACCATTCCTAAGGGTACTGACGCCTGGGGCCCGCACAGGGACTGTAACATTACAGGGTCCCACTTGCCACTGCCTGATGCCATCAAACACCGAGGGAAAGAAAGGATGCCGGAGACCAGATCTGAGAGCTCCTGCCTCCCCATTCACAGAGAAGAACCTTCAACCGGAAATGAGCAGGCGGACAGGACCTCCGGAACCCAAGGTGACTGAAGGCAGGGGAAAGGACCTGGGAGGCACCGGGTGCCTAGCCACCCAGGCAGGCACCGAATTCAGAGATTTACCTGCCTCTGCCTCCCGAATGCTAGATTTAAAAGGCATGCACCGCCACAGCAGGCTCACGCAGGCTCACTCTTTTCTATCCTGATCAGATGCTTTTGCGAGGTGACAGCTGTAATGATAAGCTGTGACCTCCCTCCATCCGGGAGGACTCTCATGCGTAGGAAATGGAGAGTTATTAGCAACGGTGGGGAAGTAAGAAATCTGTTAGAAATGCAATGATGAGCATGTTTCCTTTAACCAGGGCCTACTTTGTGATGATAAAACTACTGGGAATTGTTTTCAAAATTACTCAAAAAGCATTATATAAATAGCCCACAAGACAAAGTAAGACAAACAAAACAAAAAAAAATGGCCTAAAATATTCATATTAGATGTCACCAAAACTAAAAACTTTCATGCTCCGATAATTTCATCAAAAAGTAAAAATGAGAGGCTACAGAGATGGTTCAGTGGTTAAGAGCATTGGCTGCTCTTCCAGAGGACCTAGGTTCAGTTCCCAGCACACACATGGAAGCTCATAACTGCCTATAACTCCAGTTCCAGGAGGTCTGATACCCTCACATAGACACGAATGCAGGTGAATCACTAATGAACATAAAACAAAAATAAATTTAAAAAGTAAAAATGACAAATCACAGAATGGGAGAAAATGCAGTTAATAATACATATCGAAAAATACAAATACTAAAGGTCCAGAATATACACAAAACCCTTATACTCAATGAGAAAAGTGATAGCTTAATTTTTAAAGTCAGAATATTCAAAAATGCATCTTCAAAGAAGATATACACACATGGGCAGTGACTATATAAATAGATGTTCATTATCACGAGAATAATGAACTGAGAAATGCAAATTTATACCACATATCTCTAAGTGTGTACACACACGCACACACACACACACACATTCACTTTGAAAAATAGTTTGGCAGTTTCTCAAAAGCTTCTAAAGGATACTACTATTTAACTTGGTAATTCCAAGACAGCATGTATCCACATAAAATGTGTCCCCAAACAATCACAGGGACACCACAAATAATAATGCATCCTGATGAAATATTATTCAGATGCATACTTGATGACTCTTGAGGCCATGTGAAATTACAGGCTACATGTGACTGCTTCCACAGGAAATGCCCAGAAGTTCTGTGATTCGAAGGTATTGGGGGTTTGGGGCAGGCTACACCATGGGAGGTGTGGACCCAGAAGTCCCCAAGATCTATGTAAGAAAGAGGCATCAAAAGCTCCTCAGATGTGGGGCTGGGGAGACGGCTCAGTCAGTAAAGGGCTGGCTGTGCAAGCATGGGGACTGGAGTTCAGCCCTCAGTGCTCGCAGAGAGAGCCGAGCACGGCGGCATGCTCCTGTAAGGGCCACACCTGGGACATGGGGGAAGCCTTATTCAATTAGTGAGCCCCGAGCCTAAAATAAAAGTAGATAGCTTCTGAAGAACAATACCAGAGGGGGAACACTGGCCTCCGTTTGTATCTGTACACTTGTGCACTTAAACACACTCATACACACACCACAGAAAAAGAAAAGGATGGGACACGTAGGAATATCTGTATTAATTACTCTCCTAATGCATGCTTCAGTAGATCAAAGGATCAGACACACCCTATGCCCCAGTGGTATACCTCCATGCAATAAGGACTCACTTGGGTGTTCTCCACGCGGTGCTGAGGAATCCAGATTTTCGGAGGAAGATGTAGATGAAGAGGAGGAAGACTCTGAGTAGCTCCTCCCACCCAACCCTGAGCCACCACCTCGGGGCTGTTGCACAGTGTGTGAGGACTGAGTCAAAACCTCTGTGCTCCCAGCTTCTGGATGCAAAGCCAGGCTTTCAGCCATATCTGTGGATGTTTCGTTCTTGGCAGGGAACCACAGTCCTGGGCTCTCTCTGTCACCAGCAGAGGGGACTGACCTAAACATAGTCTCAGTCAGAGGCACGGCACTTCCATTTCCTTCTTCTGAGCTGCTGGCAAGCTGATGTCCTCCGAAAACTGTAAGATTCCAGAGGGTGGAAGAGGCCGTTAGTGGGCCTAGAAAAAATGCTTTACCAACTAAGATGAGCATCCCGCTAAGGCAAGCTTCCCTCTGACAAGGGATCCTGGTCACCCTACACACGTCATCAGGTTCTAAGTTTTTCTAAAAGTTTTGGATGCCAGCAATACAGTACTGTTAAAAATGAAAGTTGGTAAACAGGAGACTTGTGAGCCGCTTGTACAAACAGTAATTTTTTTTTTTTAATTTTATGTACATTGGTGTTCTGCCTGAATGTATGTCTGTGTGAGGGTGTCAGATACCCTGGAACTGGAGTTACAGACAGTTGTGAGCTGCCATATGGGTGCTGGAAATTGAACCCAGGTCATCTGGAAGAACAGCCAGTGTCTTAACCGCTGAGCCATCTCTCCAGCCCGTACAAACAGTAATTTATAGGCTTGAGTGTTTCTGTCCCTTGAGCGTGTTTTCTAAAAACAGCTGGAATATTGATAAACATCCCTCTACTTCTGATATATAGTAAAATAAGCTGAGGAGAAACGCAAACTATAAATTTGGGAAACATACAAATTTGGCGATTTATTTATAAAGATGGTCTGTACACAAAATCACTAGATCCGGCCATGAAGAGCAGGCCAGGTCTCACTTTGAAGATGACATCACAAAACGAAAAGAAGATGGACCCAACCATGAGCACCTCAAGGCGGAGGTCTCCACTCTGCTGAGTAAGCCAGGAAGCTGTGCTTGCTTTGCTAAAGCCCTCCATGTCTCAGCATTCTCATCTTAGGGATGGCACTTGTCCACACCCTAAGATAAAAGGCGAGTGTGTGATAAAAGCAGATAAAGACCTGGTGTCACCAAGGCCACACATTCCTTCAAAGGCTGCAAATGATCTTAAAAAGACCCCCAGCTTTATAAAATGTCCACGAGTCAGATAAAGGTGGGCTACTTACCAGGAGCATCGCTTTGCCAGCGTATAGATGGAAATCCATACCCGTGTTCTGTAGATGGCTCAGTGCCTTCTCCATCTCCCAGGCTCTCAGTTGGTCTGCTGTTTGTCCTTGAGTCTACCCCAGAGGGTGAAGAGTGGACTGAGGCTGAAGTTATGGCAAGTCTGGAGTGCTCAGAGAAACTCTCTGTCTCATTTATAGGTCCCACATCGACAGTCAAAGACTGGAGCATTCTTTGGACACCATTAGTGAACGTACTGGTGACATGTGCACTCTTTGTCTGGGTGACTGAAGAGCTTTGGAGAGAGGTGGAGTTATTAAGACTCTTCTTTATACTTCCGGAAGCTATAACAGGAGGGGAAAAAAAAGGGCTTCAAAACGACTTCAATGACTAGGAAGATCAGGATTCTATCTAGGTACAAATAACCGTTTTGTCCAAATGCTATCATAGATTATAATCCAGTCCACATCGTGAACCAAGTTTCAGCCAGTATGGGATGTGCAACCCTCAGTCTGCACTGGGGCTCTGCAGAACACAGTCAAGACATGACTGGCTGAGGACACTAGCTCCCAGCCTCGTCATCACCAAAGGCTCCTGTTTATTCCCTAAATCGTGGCCAGCATAAAGCCTACCCTTTGAAAGACCATTCAAACGGCACTCGTTAACAGAAACTACTAACCAACAGGAGAACATATTATTGCCCCAGGAATTTTAGTCAGTGTCGCCTAAAAGTAGACAGACTCCACTACTGTAGTTACTAAGTCTCACTAAGCTAGAGAGAGAGCTGTCTTCAAACCAGTATAGTGCTCCCGGGAGCACACTAGAAATCCAAAACTAGGCTGGGAACAGCTTATCAGTGAAACGGACGTCAGTCCTTGGGTAACTTTTAAGAACCTCAAGGATTCAGTTATACATACCGTGGGTCAGAGCACACGGTCTGCCCCTCAACCTAGCTGCCCGGCTGGGAGTGTCCTTCCACAGGGAAACTTTCCAAGGGTTCTAAAGAACTGACTGATCGCTAGCCATGTCGTGGTAGTTCCCACCCCAGCCCCAGGACTGGAGAGGCAGAGGCAGGCACATCTCTGAGTTTGAGGCCTACCGCTCTCCTGAGTGAGTTCTAGGATGGCCAGGGCTTCACAGAGAAACCCTGTCTTCAAACAAGAACAAAAATAAGCAACCAACAACAACGAAACCACAGACAAAGACAAACAAAAACGAACTGACTTCTGGAAGGCACCTTAAACCCCTAACACCAAAGGCTGAGGAGCTTACTTAGCAAACATGAGGTCCTGGGCTCAAACCCAGCACCACGAGAGAGCCTTATCCCAGGCAAGAGTAAGGTACAGGAAAGCTGGGGGAGCAAAGCGATGGCAGGCAAGGAAAAAAGGTGCTTTATTTTCTTTTTCCACTTGAAGCCAAGAGCAATAAAGAACCCTCTATACCTACGCCATAAAAGCCTTCCAGCCGTTAATCACGGCTCTGAAAAGGGAAAGAAGGAAGCTGCTATTATAAATAGTTCTTTGAAGACCAGTCTTATGGGGAGCCCTGGCCAAAAGCACAAACAGATTTGAAACATAGTTAGAAAGAAAGTATATGGGAGCTGGAGAGATGGCTCAGTGGTTAAGAACACTGCAGAGCATCCAAGTTCAATTCCATATGACAGCTCACAACTGTCTATCACTCCAGTTCCAGGGGATCTGATGCCCATGAAAGCAAAACACCAATGCAGGTAAAATAAAATAAATAAATCAAGTGGTGTGTGTATGTATGTGTGTGTGTGTGTGTGTGTGTGTCTGAGAGAGAGAGGAGAGGGAGGGTGGGAGAGAAAGTATAGGAAAGAAAGGGTTCCTTGTACTCTCGTGCAAAACCACAGACCCCCTGACACTGGGAACACAGCCTGCAGCTCTGATTACTGGACCCGAATAAAAACAGACGCAGGTGCAGGCTATCCCACAGAGACAATCAACCAGGTATCCAGCCCTGCAAGAAACAAACAAAAGCCACTTTTACATAAGCAAGAAGTCATACAGACATGCATGGACCTATCCCAAAACGGTCTCCAAATTGCTGTTAAAACATTTTTATTTCTAATCAGTTACACGATGTCATTTGTTCTACAGTATCATCTAAACATAGTGGCGGAGGACAGAGTTGACTTGACAATTAAGTGTGTCCTGCTCCTCCAAACGACCTGAGTTTGGTTTGCAGCGCTCACACAGGATAGCTCACAACTGGCTCCAGAGGATCCCAACATCTTCTTCTGGTCTCTGAGGACACCTTTATTCATGTACACACACACACACACACACACACACACACACACACACACACGCATGCATACCACGCAATTACAGTAAAACCTTAAAAACAAAACCCATTGTGATGACTATCCTGGGTTCAGTGTGAGAAACCCAGACTTGTCCATTTCTAGCAAAATCAAGGTAGTTTTCGCAAATACAAGACCTCAGAGGTACAACCACAAACTCCACAGACACAGACTCACAACGGAAAACAGCTCCACGTCCCCTGGTCTGAGGACTGTGCAGCACGCTGCCATCCCATTTCATCGCTGTAACGAGCTGCTGTGTTTGGACGTGCTAGCACATGCTGTGACCCCAGGAGCCAGTTCCAGGTCCACCTCAAATACGGGGTACGACCCCGTCTCAAGACTGAACCCAGCCAAACAAAACCGCTTACCCTGAAGTGAGTGATTGCAAGGTCTCGGGCACTTTGCTAACAGGTGCATTTCCTTTTGTCCTCACAGGGAAGGTGTGTAAACACTTCTGCCAAGCGGGCGTCTCCTCGCCTAATCTGTCCACAGGCATTGCGTGTGGTCCTGCATTGGCAGCTGCTGCGTAAGCCAGGAGGAAATGCTCTACACTTCTAGCCAGCACGCTGGCATTGGTGAGCGCCGAATAAGCGCCTTTCTTGGATGGCTACCCTGTGCCAGTCATTCAAAAACGGGAAACCCTCTGAGTTTGAACCCCAGAAAAGGCAAAAAGAAAGGAAGGAAGGAAGGAAGGAAGGAAGGAAGGAAGGAAGGAAGGAAGGAAGGAAGGAAGGAAGGAAGGAAGGAAGGAGCTTTTTAAAAAGAAGAAGAAAAAGGATGGAAAACCCAGCTGGTGAGCTGACTCAGCAAGTAAAGGCGCATGCCAGCAAAACCTGAGGAGAGTCCAATCCTGTGCCCTCCGTGGTAGGGGGTGAAGAACTGGCGCCCACGAGTTATCCTCTGACTCCACACATGGTGGCATGTGCGCTCCCCTACTCAATAAATAAATCCAATACAAATTTTAAATAAAAAAATAGAATACCGCCCACCAGGAACTTTCATTGTAACCGGCCACAGAGAGAACACCAGCACACCTGGTGAGGGCCTATGTCACTTTCCCGACACAGGACAAAACTCCAGGGCCTCAGGCCTCATCACACTGCTCAACCTTGACTGCTGCCCACAACTCCCCACAAGTGTATAGCTGCTGTGAGAGCAAGACTAAATCCAAAACCTTCCAAGTTATTTATGTTCTCTCCTGCACACAGTGGCATCACCACAAAGCAATTTGCCTGGACCACACTGGCTCGGCTGCCCACAGGAAACACTCCCATAGGTCAAGACCCGTTATTACGCCCTGGCTCTGACTGAGTCTCTACGAAATGTCACCTTCAAAGAACATTAGCACAGTTCTCACAAGCCAGCAACGGAGCTCACTTTCTATTAGGCTCTTTAGCGTTCCTGAGATAAATATTCCTCTTGGAATTACTGCCCCGGAAACACTCGCTGCCTATGGACGAAACTGTATGCTTACCCTGTCAGACAACAATGGCATGCTCCACCCTGCTTCCCTTTATGCCCCCATTTCCAGGAAGCGCATACTAAATTTAGTGCTCAACTGAAGTCACCCTGACACAATTCAACATACACATACTGCCTTCAGAAGACAGCTTCCTCCCCTCCTCACCCCTGCCATTTGTGGCTTTGTTTACAGCCCCACCCCCATACCGTGTCAAACAGGGGTACAAGAGAATCAAAGAGACTATGGAAAGTCAAGAGAGGCAGCAGCAGGAGCAGGTGGAGAGCAATGCCTTCTGGTCTTTCGTGTAAGCCCTGGCTCATTCGTCTTCCTGGGCCTGCTTTGGTACCGTAAGATACAGTTTCTGTTCAGAAACAGGTTAGCTCCTGGCTAGCCAGGGTGTGGAAGAGGCTGTGGTGAACAGTAAGTTCTAGTCTATGTCCTATGGCTGTAATAAAAAATACTGACCAAAAGCAACTCGGGAAAGAAAGAAAGCTTATTTCATTTCAAAGTTCTAGGTAAAAGCCCACCACTGAGGCAGGAGCTGAAGGAGAGCCATGAAGGGGTGCTGCTTACTGGCTTGCTCCCCATGGCTTGCTCAGCCTGCTTTCTTATAGAACCAGGGCCACCTGCCCACAGTGGGCTAGTCCCTCCTACATCAATCATTAGTCGAGAGAACAAACAAACAAACAGCCCCACAGACTTGCCTACGAGCCAATCTGATGGAGGTATTTTCTTGAGGTTTCCTCTTCCCAGATAACCCGAGGGAGGTTGTGCTGACAAAAGCCTAACCAGCGCCACACACTTGGATAGCTAGATGGCAGTAAAGGAGGCCCAGATGACAAGGGCGGAGTGTGTTTGAAGCACCAAATACTGCCAGCTTTCAGATCATCAGCTCCTCCCGCCATGCCCTTAGCTTGCCCTCTGTGTGCACAGCCCCATGCTGGCATCACTAACGTGACTGGTCTGAGCGAAGGGCTTTTCCTCAGCTCACACCGTTAGAAAAAACCACAAACTCTTCCCCTGAGCCAGTACTCCATTGCTCATCCTCCTTCACCGAGCTGGCCGGCAGGTTGACTCCACGCCTGCCTTGGCAAGTCCTGCAGGCTCTCTTTTGGCATTCTTGCCTACAAGCCTGCAGCTCCTGCATCTCGGACTGAGAAAGGGATGGTAGAATCTCAAGACTGCCACTCAGTAGAAGGGCAGGTGCCCAGAGCTTGCTTGGAAGGCTCAAAGGTGCCAAGCTAACTTTAAAAACAGAGCAGAGGTTCGTTTCCTCGTCGGCCTCAGGCGATGGGGTATTCTCTATGCACCAAAGTCCCCTCTAGTGACTTTTAGAGGGGCTACTGATGTCATCCACAACAGAAGACCCAGGTCATTAAGACAAATCCTCAGTAAGACTCAAGGACTATAAAAGACTCCAAAAATCAGACACGGAAGGTGGAGAACAGCAGCTCTCAACCTGTGGATGTAGACTTTTTTGGGAGTGTCACACCTAAGACTATCGGAAAACACAGATATTTACATTACGATTCATAACGGTGGCAAAATTTCAGTTATGAAGTAGCAACAAACCAATGTTATGGTTGGGGGTCAACATGAGGAACTGTACTGAAGGGTCGCAGCCTCAGGAGGGTTGGGGACCACCGCACCAGGGCAAGTACTCAAAGAATGAGGGTCAGAGGCAGGCATGGTGGCTCACGTCTTTAATCCCAGAACTTGGGAGGCAGAGAGAGGCAGGTTTCTGTGAGTTCTAGGTCAGCCTGGTCTACAAATCGAGTCCAAGACAGCCAAGGACACATAGAGAAACCCTGTCTTGAAAAAAACAAAAAAACAAAAAAAGGAAAAAAAAGAACATGAAAGTCTGCTGCCTTTTAACATGAAGTATACCAGTGATGAGAGAGTCGGGTCCAGTAAAGTAAGAAATGTGGATTCATTTCAAATACACCATAGTACTAGGTTTAATGCGTATTATTAACATTGAATGACTCTGACCAGAGTCACATTCCTTGGATATTCCTTGGAAATTCGTCTTTTCCTTTTAGCAAAGCAAAAAGGTTGTAAATCACCAAGCCACAGGATCATAGCTTTTGTCTACCTAACACATATGAATAACCTTAAAAAAAAGATTGATTGATTGATTGACTGTGCAGATGGCGTGTTTGTGTGAATGTCTAGAAGAAGACACCTGAGCCTCTGGACCTGGACTTACAGACAGTTGTAATTTCAATGTCACCTAACGTGGGTACTGGGAACCAAACTCATGTCCTCTGGAAGAGCAGGAAGGACTCCTAACCACTGAGCATCTCTCCAGGCCACTTAGGAATCATCTTAAAAAGCAATCTCCTACAAAGATGAACTGTGAATTCTGTCCACACCCGATCAGCAGGAAACTGCACAACAAGCCTGTGTAAGAAGTGTCCTCAAAAGGATTGCGGTCTCCGGGCAGGCAGTCATCGGCTGGGCTGGAATGGCAGGTGTGTGGCATGGTGGCCCAGAAGACTGAAGAAATGCTAGTGGAATAGAATAGCTTAGCTGATACACAGGACAAGCCACGGCAGAATGGGACAGGGCAGTTCTCCACAGCCCCAGGGCCTAACGAAAGCCACGTGAACACCTGGACTGGGTGGGCTATTTCTTTTGAAACAAAGCCAGGAAAAATCACGCACCTATCTTCTCAAAGAAACTGCTTTTTCGAAAATGAACAGACAAAGCTCGAACTGTTCATCAAATGGTGTGACGGTGGCCCACTCACATTTCGTCCAAGCACCCTGGCACGTGGCCTCTCCCCTAAGCACACATCCCAATCACACTTTTTCTTTGCTGCATGTGTGTACAGAGAAGGGGAAGAAAAGAAAAAGGGAAGACAGGAGGTGGGGAACACAGCAGCCACCACCGGCCGGCTGATATTTTCCTCCATAAACAGCTAAAATGTATTCTGAGCACAAACCTCAACATTGGGATAAACTTCCACCCAAAGTCCTCGGCATGGAAGAAATGGCTTTCAAATCTCCCTTTGCTTATTGTCCCCCCTCTCAGCCTGACACAATGCTTAGCCAGCTGGTTACACACATCAATTTGGGGTTATTTTGAGATGGGAGGAGTGAACTGGGGACAGAAGTACTCACAGGCGGGATGGTCTGAGGAAGGAGGGCCACTCTGGGTCCAGGAGAATGGCAGCCCGGAGTGCTCCTGGCCTGATGAGGTTCTCTTTCGGGAGAACACAGTCGGCTCCCTAGGTTCCAGAGCGTGAAGGGAGGCTTGGCTGGAAAGCCAGGTGCCAGCCATTTGTGTGTGCACAGTGCCTTCTTCCGGGGCTCCCCTCCCCCTCTCCAGGAAGCCTGGGGATGTCCCAGGCTCTGTTTGAGAAGAGGTGATTCTTCCTTCTGACCTAAGACTGCTGGGTGACTGCGGAAAGCTCTCCAAGGCTGAAAGCAAAGACAACAACAGTTGAAGTCCCACCAGCGGATCCAAAGTTCTTCTTTGGGCTCAACAGTGGCGTCTACCAAACACACAGATATGAGGGAGGAGACTGGGAGAAATACTCATTTTAGGGAGAAGGAAATGCCAGAGGGACCACCAACCAGAGACGGTCTTTTGACCTCACATAATGGCCTGCCCTGCAAGGAGAAATTATCCGTAATGGAGCTGACTGCTGCTAAGCCTCAAAGGTCAGTGTTGGACCATGAGGACTCGGCCCTCACCTCCACAAAGGGCTCCTGAAATCAACATAGTACAAGTCCCCACACTGGCCAAATCAGAGAATAGCCATCCTGTGCAGGGCTTCTGAGCTCCGCAGCCTCCGTCCATAGACGGAACACAACATACCTTCAGATATTTTGCTTATGGATCTGAGAGGCCCTAGCCAGACCTGTAACAAGGATATGAAACCAGGAGGTCACCTCTGTGGCTTTAGCCTCTACTTTGAGATCCTTACCAACCATCAACCTTTCTTCTTCTTCTTATATGAATCTTTTTATATGAATCTTTTGATGTTGTTGCTGTTTTTGGACACTGGCTATCCTGGAACTCACTATGTAGACCAAGCTGGCGTCAAACTTAAGAGAGCTGTGCCTGCCTTTGCCTCCCAAGGGCTGGAAATAAAGGTATGTGCCATTATGCCTGTCTCAAGAACATTTTTTTTTTTAATTTTAATTTTTGACGTGGGGGGGGGAGTCTCATGAAGCATTGGCTGGCCTCAAACTCAAGGATGATTTTTAAGAACTTTTTAAGAAAGATTTTTATTTTTGGGGGTGCGTGTGTATTTGCATGTGTGTGTGTGAACATATGTGTGTGTGCCCGCACACGTGCCTACGGAAGCCAGAAGAGGCATTAAATCCCCTGCAGCTAGAGTTGCTGGTGGTTGAGAGCTGTCCAAGGCAGGTGTTGTGAATTCAAGCTGGGGCTTCTGAAAAAGTGACTTTTAGCTGCTGCGCCATCTCTCTAGCCCAACCTTGAACTCCTGATCCCCCTGCCTCCACCTTCTGAATGCTGGGCTTACACAGGTGGTGTGTATGGTGCTGGGGACCGAATCCATCCTTGTTAAGACTTTGCTGAGCAATTCTTTAACACCTAGTCACCTGCTAGATCCTAGATGGTCTAGCTCACTTCAGGTCCCCTTTACTCCCCTACGAGACACCTGATAGGCTGACAGCCTGATGGCTCCTCCCTCAATCCGTTAACACTCTAACTCCACGGTGCAAAGCACCTGCGGTGAATCTCCCCAACCACCCCGAGTAGAAACTGGCCGGCTTGCAAAGTATGACATCACTGTCCCTACCCTCCGCAGCGCCGTCCTTGCCCATTGCTCTGTGCTCTCCCAGGGAGGGCACTGGCACTGATGCCCCACAGGAAGCCACAGGCGTTCTCGTGTCCCTTTTATGTTTGCTCGCCCGGGGCATGCCATTCCACAGCTGCAGTGCCCACTCACTCAACACCTAGGCTTAGGCCTTCCTCACTGGGAGACCGGCTGCCTGCTCTCTATGTAATGGCTTAATTAGCCTCTGAGCTTCAGTTCCCAAAACCCAAAAGCGAGAATGACCCGACCTCGTTGGGCTGCTGGAAGAAGGACTGAGAGAGCGGGCACGCTGCTCCGCAGGCGGAGGCCTAATTAGCCCTGCTTTCCTTTGTCTTCGCTCTTCGGTTGAGCTGTACTCAGAGAACTGCAGTCCTTGGCTGAAATACTAAGCTACCAACTGTGCAGACCGGAGCAGCAAGAACCACTCAAACTCCATCAACACAAACAAAGCCTAGCCATCTTTCCCAAACCCTGGGACATGCAACCGTGTGGCAGGATGCTGGGAGCATAGATACCTAAGGGCCAACCAGTCTGCTCATCAAATCTGCACCCTCCCCTGGTCTGACTTTGCCAGCATGGATCTGAGAAGGACTTGCCTGACCCACCTTAATACAGAACCCCTAAATGGACACAGCTGCTCTGGAGGTGGGGGTGGGGTGGGAACGGGGCGGAAAATTTGTTTTCTGGGGCTGGATATATATAAATGAGCATCTCGACACACACTCACACGAGGAGCTGCCCTGGGCGGTCAGGGCTGTGGTGATCTCAGGCGAGCGTCCAGTGTGCAGAACCGTGACGCCTGCACTTCTGGAAGACTTGTTCCTCCCCTCAGCACTTGTCTCCGGCAGGAGGGATGGGTTTCCTGGGGCTTCTGAAGAACCGTGGCTCATTCTGGCAGTCTGAGCTGTCACTCCCTGTCTGGAACCTGAGGCGTCCTCTTGACTCTGATAAAGGGGGGTATTTCCTAGGTGGGGTTCAGTGTTGGTACTTTCTGGCCAATGGTTCCTGGCAGTGGCTGAAATAAGAAGGAAATGCCATCAGTGAAAACTCAGTGGCTTTTGAAAAGTAAACCTGAAGACACCTTCGGCACCCCGAAATGACCCTTGGATGTTATTGTATGACTGCTTCAAAACTCAGTTTAGGGGGTTGGGGTGATGGCTCCGCAATAAGAGCACTTGTACCAGAGTCCAACCCAGCACCCACCCTGAGTGTCTCATAACGCCAGGGTCTCCAACCACAGGGACTCTGACGCCCTCTTCTGGCCTCTGAGGGCACCTGCACTCACATGCATTGCCCATGCTCACACCCAAATTGGAAACTTAAATCTTTATAACCCCACCATTTTTATTTCTCCGACTTGACAATATTTTTTCTCTGTGCTAAAAGGCTTGGAGGCTGTGGCACCATGGAAAATTCCCAGTGGGGAGCGAATGAAGTCACTTCTATCTTTATAAGCCAAGGCAAAAAAAAAAAAAAAAAAAAAAAAAAACACAAAAACGTCAAGCCATCTGATAAGCAGAGACTGTGGCCAGGCAGAACTATCACTCGCATCTAAATATAACAAACACAAAAAAGGAACAAATTATCTTTTAGATTAGTACTGCCCAGAAAATAAAGTGAGCAAATTATATATATATGTGTGTGTATATATACATAAAATTTTATTCTGCATATTCAAAATATTTCAACATAAACTTAATATGAGAAGTACCAAGACAGTCATTATATTTTTGTATTAAACCTTTAAGTCCAGTTAATATTCTACCGTTCCCCCCACCCCTTTTATGTGTGTAGGAGTCTTGCCTGCATGTACATCTGTGTCATTTTTATGTGTGGTACACTCGAAGACCAGAAGGCGGCACTGGTGGGTGCTGGATATCAAACCCAGGTCCTCTGGAAAAGTAGCCAGTGCTGTTAACCACTGAGCCATCCTCCCAGCCCCTTCCTGGTCATGTTTCAAGGGTTCGGTGCCCAGGGGTGTGGCTGCAGCTACTTGGATACACTGTAGGGGTGGTGACTTGGTTTTGTTTTTGGTTTTGGTGGGTTGGGTGATGATTACACAAATTGGCCCTAGGTGAGATTCGGGGAACTTCCTAAGGGAGCTATTTCCAATCCCGGTCCCTTGAGAATGACTGTTTCCTTGTCTTGATTCTCTTTCCTGGAGGTGATAATTAACAGGGGCTTCCTGGAGGGGAGCAAAATCACCAGGGCATCTGGGTTCCTCTGGGGGGATGATGTAGGAGGGTGCTGCCAGAGACAGTCACAAGTCTCTAAGGTTGTGAGTGGCAAGAGACACAGGGTATGCCTGCCCGATTCTTCTTGCTCTGCTGCAGAGATAGTTGGCTTCCCCAGAAAAGGCTGAAGAGGATGCTTTCTCTACTCTCTTGGTTAGTTGAACACAATAAGAAAATTTACTCCCGAAGGAAATCAGGGGGAAAAAAAAAAGTTGCAGAAAGGTGGAAGGTTGCCCTAAGGCTAGGAAGCCAGGAGCACAAGGAAGATAATAATAGACCTAGCTCCATCAGTCCCTTATAAAAAGGCAGAGGCCCAGTCACTGGGAAGTGTGGCTGGCCTTGGACAAGGCACCGATAGCCCTTTCTTCAGAGGGTAAGGGTAGAAGTCCCAGACCCCAGTCAGCTGAAGGAGTTCCACTGTAGGAAAACAGTGGCCACAGGCAGGCAGAGCGCTGCTTGCAGTGAACGGTGCTAACTCCCTCAGAGCAGACTTTAGATGTAAGAATGGAAAAATGCACACTATAAATAAAACTTCAAGGCTGACAATGGTCCCCTGCAGTGCCCTCAAAAATTCCGCCACCATCAACAGCTAAAAATGCCGAGGGAAAAAAAAAAATCCTAACTGCACTTCTGAGCTGGTGAATAAGGAAAGAATCCAACCCTTTGAGGCCAAACCCCCAACCAACGCTAGGAACAGAGAAAGGTGAGCAGAAACTGAGGCTGACGTCTGTTCAGCATCTATAGCTTTAACCTTCTGATGGCTGCAGAGACGCAGGAAGTAGACAGTGTAAACTCTCAAGGAGGCTAGTGGGAAACTTCCGTGCAACGTTGGAATCAGAAGGACTAGACCCTGGGCGGCAGACAAGCAGAAACTAACCCACAGAGGGACAGCAAGGAAACCTGGCCCCTCAATCTCGGTTTACGGAGGAAGCTAAAAGTAATCTCAGTATAAACTCTCTGACCACAAAGCCAGGCTTCTGCGGGTAGGCAGCACAGATTTACATTCCCTGTATGATCCCGGCCTCAAGTTGAGGGTGCACCTGAGAGGGGCATAAAGCCTTATGAATACAGTAAAAAAGACTGAATCTTTAAAAAGGTGATCTCAAGAGGTCTGCAACCCTCCTCCTCATCCAGTGAATAATGGGGAGCTAGGGGAGCTAGGGAGGGGCCCTGATAGTGCCTCGAGGAAGCTGGCAAAACCAGCAAACACTCTCTACAGGAGCAAACTTTCAGATCAGTTTCTGCCATGTACTGATTAAAAATAGAAACTCTGATAAGACACTGCAATAGAACAAAACAAAAAAAACCCCACAAATGTACCAGAAAATAAAACATTCACAAACAAAAGTTAGCAAATCAGATAAGCTTTCAAATACTAGAATCACTGAAGAAGATGCGTGTGTAAATGGACGCCAGGACTCGGGGGCACGCTCCCCTGCACAGACACACAGGCATATTGACTTCATTAAAAAAAGGGGGAGAGAATGCTAATAATCAGACAAAAAGACAGAAATTATAAACAAAAGTTTAGCAAATTAAAGAAGCCAATCCCTTATCTAACTGGAGTGTTTTTGAAACTATTTTTTTTTTATGTGGGGGTGGGCTGGTGTGTCCCCGGAGGCCACGAGAGTGCCTAGGATCCCCTAGAGCTGGAGCGACAGGCGGCTGTGAGCCACCTAGCATAGGTACTGAGAACCTAACTCAGGCCCACTGAAGGAGCAGCAATCTCTCTTAACTTACGAGCCAGTTAGAGAGTTCTGGAAGAGACGGCAAGGCCAAAGGTCAATATTCACAAAGATAATGGCCGAGAATTTTCCAGAACCAAAGAGAAGCATAAATCTTCAAGCTAAGGAATTCTAATAAAATCCTAGGGTGTGTGTGCTGATATCATTGTGAACCTGTGAAAACCCATAGAAATCTTAACTTAAAACTCAACCAGAATAAAACCAGCAAGTTCTCTGTAAGAAGAGGTAAACCAGCTATGAAGGAAACCAAACAGAATCAGTAGATCAACGTTTGCGATGTGCTAAGAGGGAACCACTGGAAACACATATGCAGCAAAACCATCTCTCAAAAGTATCCTGAGAGTATCAAGTAAAGTGATTTTCACTCACAGGTGAGTTAACTAACCTTCCCCCTGAATGAAAAAAAGAAATGAAAGGATACAAGTGCTTCTAAGGGGCTGAAGTTTTTTATGACAGACATAAAGAGAGCCCAGGCAGAGGCAGAGACATCTGGGAGAATCTAGAGTGAACATGGCCAGACTGAGCTTCAACCTGTGAGGACAGAGGGGGAGGAAGAGCAAGAGAGGAGGCCCTGACCAAGAGGGGTGGTCTGAGCTGACAGATTGGCCCAGAGGGAAAAGGGGCTGAAAGAACCAGGGAACCAAAATGGCTAGATTATACAGAGAAGAGCAGCTGGGGGAAGGGCAGCCCAGCCCCTGGGCTGGAGAGTTGCGGGGGGGGGGGGGGGGGGTTACGCCAGCTATACCATGGTAACATGTAGGACTGATTTCAAGCCAGAAACAATCCTAGAAAGCAGAAGCAAGGAGAGCTGATGTGCAAGACAAACAGGTGCGTACATCTAAAGAAACTGAATTCATTTTTAAAAATATCGCCAAGTGTGGTAGTGCACACCATTGATCCCAGTACTCTGGAGGCAGAGGCAGGCTCTGTGAGTTCAAGGTCAGTCTGGTCTACAGCATGAGTCCCGATCAGCCAGGGCTATGAAACCCTGTCTCAAAAAAACAAAACAAAACTTTTTTTTTTTTTTTTTAAACTAACAGATTATTAAAACAAAGTAGAACAAATCCTGGCCAAGAAGTGCATGCAGGACGTGCGTGATCAGAGTCATCAGTGCTGAAGGGTAACTCCACAGACAGTACCTCACGCTAACCCTTGAGGTTGCCTCAAGGTGACTGAGGGAAGCAGAATTGGAACGTGTCATGTCCACCCTGGCAGACCTTGGCAGGACATAAAATTTCTATAGTGAAAAAAATTAGTGGGCATCACTCAAAACCGAAATAAAAAAAAAAAAAAAGACACGGACAGAATTATAAATGGGATCAATTAAAAGGGTTGAAAGCGACCAGAAGTTTCACTATAGCTTTGTAAAACCCATCTAATCTTTAAATTGTATGTTGGCTTGTTAAAAACAGAAGCTAATGAGGGAGGATTAAGACACAGCACACTGGTGGCCTAGCCTGGTCTAGAACTCACCGTGTAGCCTCATAAGCTCTTCTGTTTTAATACTTGGTTCCCAGAGGGTGACACTGGGGAGGTATAGGAGGCACGGCCTTGCTGAAGGAAGTCCATCATTTCAGGTGGGCTTCCAAAGCTAAAATCTCGTTTGCTCTCTGCTTTGTGCAAAGGAAGTGAGTCCCTAGCTTCCTGTTTCTACTACCACGCCTGCTGCCGCACTGACCCCACCATTACCGACTCGAACCTTCTGGAGGGCAAGCCAAAATAAACTCTTCTCTCCGTTGTCTTAGTCACGGAGCTTTACCAGAGCAGCAGAGAAGCAACAGATACGTCTAGAATCTTATTATAAAGGCCCAAAGGCTGGAGATCTGGAGAAGTCATTTTTGTAATGACTTTCACTGACCTCCAAACTGCCCCCTCGGTCCGTGGTCTGTGGCCCTTAAATATGATACCCATAAGCAGTTCTGTAAGCTGGGAGCCCAGTGACATTTTTATTGAGCGTGGGCATGGGAGTGGCCTCCTCACATAACTTGAATTTGGGCTGCTCAGTCCCCAGATGCGCAGCCTCTGTCCGTGCCAGC